CATCGGTTACCAGCGCGCGCTCTCGAGAAAGAACCGCTCGTCGGTTGACCACCGCCGCCGTTGCGGCGTCGCGGACAGTTCACCACGAGTGCCCTGTATATATATATCTCGCGGCAATTAATATCTCGTAGCGGGACATATATATATACTAATTGCCCGACGTTTGGCTATCTATCGTGGGAATACGACGACGTATCGCGTACCGTGGCGCCTCCTTCGCTGCGCCGCAAGAGAGACGCGACAAAGGATTCCCGTATTTTGTGATCGTCCGCCCGTATTTCATTGTTTCTTATCGTGACGTCCTAACTATGAAATACGTCACCCAGGAGAACCGCACCCGCTTATCGTTCTCTCTCTCTTCCTCTATCTCGTGGAGCTAGGAGGAGGAGGAGGAGGAGGATTGTGTGTATGCGAGGACGTTAATTACGTTTGTACCGACAAGGCGCATTTCGCCGCACCGAGACGACGTTCCCTATATATTCCGTTTAAACAGAAATTAATATCGCGCGTGTATATATTATTATTGCGTGAGAAGAAACACACACGTGTACACAAAGTGTCTATTAACGACGGAAATTGGCGATAGAAGCGAAATTCTGGCAAACAACTTTCAGGTTGAAAGATGTATCCTGACAGTGGTCCTCTGAAAAATGCACGACCGCCGAAGTTGGAAAATCATATTTTCAGCAAATTCAACGGAGATTTCCACTTTTCTACCGCTGTAACTGGGCGGGGGGGAGGGGGGGGGGGCAAAAAGCCTGATAAATTGAATCGAAAATCGAAATCTCCGGTCGACCCTTGACACGCGCGGCAACGAGGGAGCAAATTTGATGCGTGATGCGTGTTTGCTTAACAGTTTAATTATAAATTTCCGTCGAGCGAGGAAAGGTAATTACGGCGGGACGAAAAAAATATATGTGTATAGCCTGCATCCCGGGCTCAACACCTGCGTAATTATAGCAACCCCGGCTGAATCGATACGGTAATTATTTCGCGGGTGGGCAGCAGGAAAATATCAGTCAAGCGGACCGTGTTAGATTAATAAACAAAAATTATTGTATAATTAGCGGTAATATCCTCCGAATTATAACTTCTGAAAATATACATTACACGGCGGATTAATGGCCGCGCGGATTTAAACGAGTAATTTATGCAAAATATATGCGACCGTTTAAACTCTCGCGTAATTAAAACGCCCTCTATTTTCCCTGTTTTCCGAAGCGACGTCGATGCATTATTTCCTTAGCGCGATATTTTCGCGGGAACAATGACACCGGCATGGAAAAAACATATTTCCGCGGACAGCATTCGCGTGGAAATTTGCGTAATACAAGCGCACCGTGGCAGTATAAATTCGAACCGCGGGCTACGAATTTTAATCACCGCCAAATTGGGCAACTTTTATATCGGCAGTCGGCAGTTTATACGTTTCAAATTAGTTCTCGCCTTTCTCGCTATTATTTCACCTAAATACAGCGCGTCTCGCGTAATGAAACTCATTATATTAATCGTACGCTACAGTGCAACGGTGATGCAATTTTAAGAGATCGCCGTCGAGTAATTGAACTGTTTTCCTCAAATCTCAAGAAATTAGCCGCAATCGCGTTACTCGAATCAAATCGCTAGATGTCAAATCCATAATTCCATGAGGTCAATTGGATTTTCTGAAAATTAAAGAAACCTCTATTTCTCAACCAGAGACAGAAAAAGATAGTTTAGAGATAGAGATAGAGGCAGACAAGTAGATAGATATTTACTTGTTCTGCGCTCTGAGAATATTCTCCTCAAGCGCAAATAGATACACATAAAAATAATTACATTCGGAAAATTAATATGACAATAATAGAATATATCCAAAGAGGAAAGAAGAAAAATAAATAAGTGAAAATAAATAAATAACGGAAAGAAATAATGATACAATCATAGCATATATGCAAAATAGAAATCAACAAAACAAGCATACAACAGAAGATACGTGCCTATAGATAGATAGATAGATAGATAGATAGAGAGAGAGAGAGAGAGAAGGGCGGAAAAAAGAAAGAGAGAGAGAGAGAATATTCGTTTTGCGGAAAAGAGGGTTCGTCAATTTGTAACACAGTGTACCGAATATTGCTTCTCGAGAGCGATGAAATTTTATCCGGAGACTTTTAACACAGAATTGGATAGATTCTTTAAAGTTCACGAGGTCACGCCCTTTTGTCCATCGAGCGAATCACTCGTAATCTCTCTGTCTCTCTCTCTCTTTCTCCTCTCTCTCCGTTGCAGCGATGAGAATTAGATTCGAAATCGTCAAAAACGTAATTGGATTGCCGATTAATAAACCACGAGAGAGAGAGAGAGAGAGGAGAGATTATCGCGTGCGCATGGAACGGCTACGAAGCCATCGAAGAATACTGCCGGATTATTAACGTTTTTTAATTAAACAACGGCAACGTGGAGAGAGCTTACGAGGCGAGGAGCTATTCGCGCGCTACATTGTGCGGCACAGCGCAGGACGGAGACGCGATATATTTCTTCGCGTTGTACGGATTGTCCCGGGCTCGGCCGGCCGGCGGAATGTTGCATCACGCCGGGGGACAACGAGGAACATATCGGGGTCGGGTTGCGGAACTGTTGCTAATCGCCGCCGAAATCTCGAATTAATGGCACGAAAGCTGCGCGCGGAATTTGGGGATTGGTGGTGCGCGACGTGCCTAACCCGGCAAAAACGTCGTCTCGTCCGTCCGTCCGCTCGGCTATATGTTCGTTCGCCGTGCGCGTATACACACGCTCGAAACGATAAATGCTTTGGTACGCATACGCCTCGATACGTTTTATGCAAATATCGCAGCTGCGCCGCTATATGGAGTTATCGGTGAATTCACGCGTGTCTCTCTGCGCTCCGTGCGAATCGCAGCGACGGCGGCGTCGGCATGGAGTCGCCTCACGCGGACCGAACTCTCTAGCGTTTTGCAAAACCGATTCGGCCGCGCTTCGCGCTCATATGTGCGAACGTTGTTTACTTAATGAATGATCGCCCGGCCTCGTATAGCATTAATTAAAAGAGGCCGATGTTGTTGAAACACCGCCGGTTGTTCCATTATTTCGCAATTTGACGGGACTATCGATTCGTAATATCGTTATTTAATAAAAGAAATCGCATGCGTAAGTGCGTGTGTATGTATATGCACGAGTGCGTGTTGTCACACGGAATACTATAAATTGATATTTTATACGCATCGCGCGTACTGATGGCGTAAATTCGCGGCGTTCGAATTTTAAGGTAGTTGATCCGTAGAATGCTGGATTTTCAATGGTGATATTAAGAGTCCTTCATATAAGTTTGTTTATTTAAAAATATATTTTCCTATAATTTATTGAACTATTCAAATAATTAACTTTGAATGCGAAATTTAGACAAATATGCACACACGGAAATATTATTTATATTCGGTTTTTCTTGTTAATGCTTTATTTTTACGTCAATTGAGCTAATGAGACGTGCATAATAGAAAGTGGTATATAAATATTTAAATATGTGTATTCGCGGCTGTATACATTATAAATTTCCTATGGCTATATATCTCGAAAACAAAATAGTCAATAATTCTGAAGTGCTTCTATAATGTCTATATATATTATTCCTTAATATCGCAATCGTTTTTTATTAAAATCTTAAATATAATTTAGAAAATATTAAAAATAGAAGTTAAAAATAAGATATTATAAATCTAATCTTAAGGAATATATGTATAAAAAGCGTTATTTTTAGTTTCGAATATCTCAGTTTCCGAGTGGTCAGTCGTCTAACTTTTCAGACGTGTAGATAATATTTCCATCAATATGTAGCTAAAAAGATTCTTAAGAAAATGGTTTGACGGCTCAACTACATTAAGTTTCTCGCTTGCGCCGCGCAAAAGGAGAACCGCGCTTATCCTTGCGGATATGTAATATAAATAGAAGAACTTCCCATACACCTTAATTAAGGTGAGGGGAGAATGAATTTTTTAAAGCAGCCAGAAGCCAGGAGAGATTAATAACCTGGGGATTAAGACTCTCGCGCGCGTTATTTCCCTTCCTTCGAAAAGTAAGATATTACGGCCATTAATTCTCGGGAATTCCGGTTGCGCTCTAGTTGCATTAGGAGTTCCTTGTTTTCCGGCGGTTCCTTCACGCATTGAGGCGCTTTTCCTGGGAAAATTTTGCCAAATTGTAAATTATGAAATAAAGTTTCGTGCGTCTCTCGCAAGATAGTCGTGCATGCGGATCTTGACTTTGTCGTTTAAGTTTTCCGCCGAGACTCCAAGAGAAAAAAAATATATCAAGAGGATCAGAGAGAGAAGTTTATTATTTCCCCTCGAGATCATATTACGAACGTAACTGCCGTACTTCCGTAACCCGCGGTACAAATATTGTGGGTAGAAATTGAACGAAATCGAGCTGATAAAATCAACATGGTTCCTTGAAATATGTGTCGATCTCGCGGAGAAAATAGAAATCCTCCTTATTGGAATACGGTCACCGCTAATTTACAGCTCAGACATGAAAAATCCGTTGTTTGCGGAGAAACCGCGTCGGTCTCCTAGTTTTAAGCCCCGGCTCTTCAACGTACAACATACAAATCTCGTTTTTACATCAGAATCTCTCTGGAGATTTAAAATCGACTTTCAGATTGCGCGAACGACGGTAGCCGGAATAATTTCTCGCTCGGGGGCGAAATTAAAATCAAAAGAAGGGGATTCGACGATTCCATCGCGGTAAGAAACGTGCGAAGAGGAAGGGGAGAGGACGCGACTTAACGGTGGAGCGGTGCTCGCTCGCGCGTGAAATACGCTTGACAATTACGTGTCTCGGGGGCCCTGGGAGTACATTCGTCGCGAGTCAACGGTCGCCAGTGTCTTGCACGACGTTCCGCTAATTCGCTCGAAAGTTTCTTATTTTCCAGCGCGAAACTCGGTCGGCGGAGGCGAGCAAACGGAGCGCCATCCCCGGCTATTGATCGTCGCCGGCTCTTCAACATGGCGCCGGGGGTGGCGTTCGCGCTCAGCCTGATCCTCGTCGTCGGTCATCTGCAGGAAGGGCCAGGCTCCCTCGCGAAGACCTTCACATTCCCCGAGTACCCGTACAAGGAAACCACCAAGAATGTAAGTCCGGCCCATCTAAGTCCTCTGCGAATTCGTCGCGCTGCGAGTGCTGCCGTGCGCTGAACCGCCCGATACAGGTTATGGTTAGAGCAACCCCCATTCGTGCGGGCTGACACTTTTACGACGCCGGGGACCGGTGTGCGGCGGTAATCCGCTTGACGCTTCTTCGTCCTTCGAGCCGGCCGGCCGGCCGGTTAATAGCGGCCTTTTCGAATTATCGCGGCCGGGATCACCGAGGATCGGCGAGAGGAAACTCCGTTCCCGCTCCGCTTCGCGCGTGAAATCGTCGATCCGACTCGGCGATTTGATCGGTGGTGATTGGAGATTTCGTAAAAAATATAAAATATAAAAAGAAGATAAAAATAACGGAGAAATTCATGTTCGTTCGGAGATACTCGGTGAAGCGAGTTTAAAGGATTCGGTTACATAATGAGACGCGTCGCATATCGGGTGGCTATCGTTTACGCGAGGACGTAAGGAGCCGGAGAGCTGGCTCGCGGTGAAGAGAGAGAGAGAGAGAGAGAGAGGAGACCGCGATCGATTTGGCATTAACTCGGGGGGAGTATTCGGCTAAAGGTCAAAGTGTACACGGCCGCGCCGGGAAGTTGGCGTGTGCGAATGTTTGCGTTGGGAAGTTCCAGCGCGAGTTCGGAGCCGCGACTCGCGGCGGAAGAATCCTGCCCGCCGAAACCGAACTTGACCGGAGCGGAAAAGTAGCGGCGACCGCGAAAAAATTGCATTTCGAATGTACACTGAAAAGGAAAAGTGTTATCGTTCAAGTAATATTTATATGATTCAAGTAAAATGGTTACTCCAATATTTCTTGACAAATATTTGCTAGATGTGGAAATATAATAATTGGCTATAAACAATATAATTCTTTTGTATATAAATAGATATTTACTCGTACGTGTTAAAACAACTGCGATGAGTATTAAATTCGTAATATTGGGACCTTCAGAATTTATTTTTAGAAAATATTTACTGGATAGAAAAATCGAATTTTAAAGTTCGCTCACCAAATACCGTATTTTCAGTTAGTGCATCTAGCAAACCTTTTATAAATTGATTATTTATCGATCAAAATTACGTGGAAGAGAAATATCACATAATTCTATTAAATTAATCACATAATTCTATTAAATTCTCTCTTAAATTTAGAACCATTTTACGCTTACGTTTAGCAATTCATTTACAAATTAAGATACTACTGCGTTCAGATAAATGTTTACAAGTTATGAAAATATACTTAAATTGATAAAAATTTTACTTGACATAAGAAGCTGGAAATCAGATAATTATTTGATTTTAGTACTTTTTTTACGTAGAAAGAGCTCGCTTCACGATCCTCGCGGCGAAAGCAGCGTACGAACGCGAGGAAGTGTTCGCGCGAGCCCCCGCGATTGCGCGTCAGCACGAGTAACTGAATTCGACGTATTTCCGGTGGAAAGTTTCGTCGGAGCTTCGTCGAGAAATCGTCCCGGTGCGATCTCTTCATCGACACGCGCGTCTGATGCACGTGAAACACATCTCTGCGGCGCGCGCGCGTCTCTTCTTTTTTTTATTTTCCTCCCGCCGAGAAATGAGATGAGAGAAAGCACATTCGACTTCCTGCATTATTACACTCTCGGTAAACATTCGCTCGCGCGCGCGGAATGATACTTTTATTCCGCGCGGAGAAAGGCAGACGCGCGCGCGTGGAGTTGCTCCGCGAGGAAAATTAAAGGCGCGCATGCACGCCGCGCCACACCGTTGGATGTCACATTGATTTTAATTGAGGTTAATCTTCCGACATGCACGAATCAATTGTCGTGTTTCGCTTTACCCCGCGGCGACGCGGCGCGGAATGCAAGTGTCGTTTTATTAACGTCGCACGAGAGATGCGCGCCGCGGGATACACGTTCTCACACATCGGAATTAACATTCGTCGGGAATTAACGCTCAGCGCGCGGCGGTGGTCGCGATTTACCGTATATTAATTGACGAGCGATTCGCGGTGGGATTTGCAACGCGAAACCTGTCAATATTGAGAAAGATCGCGCACAGTTTTGCGAAAAGCTGAGGGAGGCGGTGGATAGATGTGTTCGCAATTAACGGCCGATTCGCAGTGAAATTTACGAGACGGGATATTTCAACGGCTGATTTCTCTCTTTCATCGTCAAGAGATATTGTTAAATTCTCTCTTGCTGCATTTGAAAATGAATCAGGTATACTGAGACACACATATATGTGTGTGTGTGTACCTTTAAAATGTTATTAATCTTTTCAGGTGCACTGATACAGTTTTTTTGTTCAACTCGAATACTGCGTATCAAAATGTAGCGAGTGGCAAAATAATCGTAGCTTTTTTTAACAATTAACAATTTTTTTAACGAGATTCGCGACATTCCGCTGTCGAATAGAATTTGTTTTTTAATAATTCTCAAGAGGTAAATTTTTCAAATAACCCTTTAAACAATTTTAAATAAAATTTTTCCAACGGATAATCGAATATGTGTGTGTGTATGTTTTGGAAGTTCATCGAGGTGATGAAAAATGTGATAATTTTTTCGCTATCGTCTGTACATCGAACATTATTACGAATAAATCCACGCCCACCGCGCTAAAAATATTCCCCGTCAAATAAATGTTCGCAAACTCGCGAAATTCTCTAACCGAAAAAAACGAGAAATCTCATGGCACGATTGTCGGACGCGTCATGTATGAGTCACTCTAAAATTAAGTCTTTTCTCTCAGACTTTAATCAATTGGTCCCTGAGAAGATTAAATGAACGTCTCGAGGAAGACGAAGCTTCACGCTCACGCGCTCAAGCGACGTCACAGGAGTCAATGTCATAATTACGATCGGTAAAATATTCTGTCGCGCAGGAGCTGCTCTTCCGGCAGTTCGAGCAGGCCTGCGAGGAGAGCGGCGCCTGCAAAATGTTGTCGCACAGAAGCGGCGTCGCGAAAACTAGGTGCATACGGGAATGCGTGTCGCCGTCTTGCTACAAGGAGATCTATTTATTCGATCAGGTACGTATGCGTCTGTACGTGTACACCAATTTCGGCAATCCCGTTAATTGCGTTCGCTTGCGTCGCATTTTCATGCGTCACATGCGTATCCTCTTACGTGTGAGTATCCCACAATGACGGCACGACTAACGAACGATCAACACGTTTCAGTTGGAGGAGGGTGAGATTGATGTGAGATTAAATTCCTTCAAGGGTTGCTTCATGCAGCGAAACGGACGGCCGCGGAAGTAAAAGACGAAGGAAGAAACGGAGGCGCGCGGCTTCGAATCGCGAAATGAACGAACGAGCGATCGAAGGACCGACGGACGAGCCGTCGGTGTACCGTTCAACCCCTTCCGGTTTCGCTGTAGTCGCGCGAAAAAGCAAAAAGTACACGATCCGTCGTCTCTGGAGCTTCTCGCCCGGACTCCGCCGTTCCAAAAGAGTTAAATCGAAGACTAACACACGAGCGTACCGCGCAATGCGCCTCGAACGTTCGTGGATGGTTCGCTGAATGTGAATTATTAACGAACGCGCTTCGTGCGGCTTCGTGCGAGGAGTAGTAGTGGCGGTAAATAACTATGTAGCAGTTAGTGGCGGTGGTGGTGGTACACCGACGGGAATCGTGCTCGAGAACAATCTTTTTCTACTTTTTGTACGCACATGTTACCACGTCACGACGTCGTCATCGTCGTGTAACATTGATAAACGACACTGCACAAAATAAAGAGATGAATTGTTAACGGTTCGCTGCACTAGCGTAGTGAACTGCAGCTCACCGTTTTACCGCTTTTATACGCCACTAAGAAACAATCTCTCTCTCTCGTTGAAATATTCTTCAATCTCGGTACGCAACATAGATATACTCGATCTATCCTACGACATGCATGTTACTCGAATAAAACAATCTCTCGATGTATAGCGAATGACGGATAGCGGTGCTTCAAAGCAATTGCGCATTTTCACTATTATACGCGTACTTTATTCCCTCGAAATATACAGAACTTCAAGTTGATGAAATAATCTAATTGAAAGTAAAAACTACATCGATCTCACTCGGGAGGAAAAGTCGCGACTTAAGATTTCGTAAAAAAAGAAAAGGACAAAAAAAGTGTGGTGAAATGCGTTTGCAACTTGGCTCAACGATAAACGAGCCATTTGTACTGTGATATAACGTGATATGATCTACGAGTTTTATTATTGTTCGCTCGGATATTGCGACAGCTGTAAAGAAAAAAAAAAATATGTATATATATACACAAGAGTAACGTAAGGTAAAAAAAACCAATCAATCCCGTGTGATGCGTGCGATTTACACTTGAACCGTTCGCCGGAGGAAGAGGGCGTGTTATTTACCGCGTGTTGCAGCTCCAGGCAGGCGTCCTTCAGGCCCTTGTTACGAACGATCACGTAATATTCCCTAAGGTGATCCAAAACTTCATCAAAGGGCGTCTTGTACAACGATCTGGGGTTCCACGGTACGTAGTTACAACTCGTCCTGCGATAACGAAGCCACACGGCGACGAATTTCACGAAGTGACAGGACACGTGTCGCATGTTCACGACGTTGAAGACGAGATCGTAATTACTCATCGTGGTGCAGAGATGGGGCATCAGCATGGTCACCTCAGCGTTGCAAAAGTCCAATAGAGCTGTTAAACATTCATACGCCATGTCCCTTTGCACGGGATCTTTCTACAAAAGAAAACAAATAGCTAAAACCGAGCTGACACTATATATACAACAGTTACAATTACATTAATATAAACAATTTTCAATTTCCCGTTCTCTCTTCTTGTCTCTCTCTTTCTCCCTCCCTCTTTCTCTCTTCTCTGGTCGATAAAACGATCGTTGATTTTTTGTAAAATATACGCTTTTCGACGCGAAGAAAGGTATTCTCTCCCGTTCGCTTTCGCGTCGCTGCACTTTTAAACACGACTGACCTGTGCGTGAACGATATGGAGAAATTCGTAGAGATTGATAACCATGTCCACGTCGTCGCTATCAGTCGCGATCTTTTGCAGGACGACAGCCGATCCATCAGCATTCTGCGTTAAAAGCTCGCATATAAATTGCATTTCGTTCGTTGCGCAGATAGCCGATTCTTCCGTGTTCGCGAACAACAGCTCGACCAGGCTTTCCATGCGGACGATCAGCGACTGTTCGCACTGAAATGCACATGAGATCAGCTTCAGGTACTCGAGAGTCTTTGCGAAATCGATAAGGTCTCTCACGAGAGATCCTTAGCTAATTGTTACCTTAATCGAAGATCTTTTCTGACTATGAATTATAAATGCGAGCAGCTTCACGCTGATCGACGATAATTCCGATCTCTTCTGCGAAAATCCGTAGTTGTACAGAATTTTCAATAGCGCGGCGTTCTTTATGTAGGTCCTAAGCACTGTAATGGGAATATTTCGACCAAATATATCATTCCACTTGAAAATGTGTGTTCTTCCGGGTGCCTATTCATTCCTTACCATTGAATGACTTGCGCGACATAGCAGCGACCAGAAAGATATAAGCTTGCTTTATAACCACTGTCATGAATTTCAAATTCGTGGTCTTCTTCAATATGATATTAACAATACTATCGGCGCCGCGTAGTATGAGTTGTATCGGCATTGTGTGTGGTTGGGTGATATTAGCTAATTCTAGAACCGCCTCTATATGCGCCACTGCAAGCATAGATTCGATAAAACGTGCTCCAACGGCGATATCAATTGGAAATTAACGCGATACATACGTTTTGGTCAACGTCCAATGAATGTGTGTGTGTGTGTATGTGTGTGTATGTGTGTGTGTGTCGATTCATCACGCTTGTAAAATTGTCTGAGTATTTTATTTTATTTGAACAATCAATAAATAGTGACAAAAATTAACTTGACATGGAATCTTGCATTTTAGCTCTTTTTTCATGATTCTGTCAATATTAATTTTACGACTATTTATTGATTGTTCGAATAAAAAAAGTATTCGGATAATTTTACAAGTGTGCTAAATCTATCATAAATGTCATTTTTGTCAAAAGTGAAAAAACATGTGCCCAAAATTAAAAAAAAAATTAAAATAAATAATCCGAAAATTTCCCTTTCACTTTAATAATCAATAAATACCGTAAAATTAACAAAATCATGAGAAAGGATAAACAAAAAGGGAAGACAGCGTGGCGTGTTAGATTTATGGTTATTTGTTGATTATTAGAGAAAAGGTTCATTACAACATTAGAGAAAGTTTCCGGAATATTTTACGAATATATTTCGCAAGAATTTTTTAGGTATGCGTTTTCACGCTTCTGACGTCATCAAATAAAACGACTGCAGTGTGAGGGACCCAGAGCTCTAATGTAAAACCGGAATTTCGTCTGGATTTCGCGAAAATTCGACACGAAGTTCGATGAACAAAATTGTACAACTTAATACAGAACATACCGGTATCCGAGTCGTGCGATGAGAGAATATTCGGTAGCATGTACCAAACGATATCCACAATTTGCTCGACGTACGGATCGTCGATTCGTATCAAATGATGAAGTGCTTTCACAGCCAGGCTCATAACACGCTGCGGGCAACCGGTTTGCACCACGACCTATTCGCAAGCGAACGAAGATTGTCGTGAGCCTCTCATAGAAATCCATCACGGTTTCCTTTCTACTGTAGTCGTGAGATATCACGATGTCGCTTATTAAAACGCGAATACTTAAGTATCTTTTCTCTCTCCCGACACAGCGAAATACACGCTCGTATGGACGTAAATCACACGTAGATACGTGATCGAGGACGATCTCGATTTCGCGATAATATCGCGAAGGATAAAAACATAAGCTTTCTACTCGCCAGTAAACGCCGGACCACTTTGTCGCAATTGAACCGCAATAACGGCTTAATATCGCCTTCAGATTCGATCAGCCACAAGTCTAAGACTTGATTCAGCACGTGTTGCGAAAACTCGGGACATACAAGGCAGTGATGCAGAAGATCGATATGGTGGCTGTAAAACTCATTGATCTTCAAACCAACCAGGACTCTTGTCAATCTACTGACCGCTTTGTCATAATGGTGCATCGAATTGGGACGCGGATGTGATATAGACATTACCTGTGAGGTCCAATGCAATTAGCGTATAGCGGATGAGGGAACGTTGAATTATACATACTCACGGCGAACAAGAACCACAACGGTTTCAAAATCGAGACCGAGATCGCCTTTGACGGCACCAGCAGCATGATTCGGGTGATGAGCGACTGCAAAGACGCTATATTGTTTCTGAAAAGAGACGTGTAATTGGTGACGATCGATTAAATTAAAAGCGGCGCTAAGGAGGAGAAGACAAACGACCCATAATGTTCGCTTTTGCTGTTTTCAATTGTGAAAATTTTACAATTCGTGAGAATCCCAAAATAACGACCATAAACTGAATTAGCAACGTCGATCAGCTAATATGAGTGAAGTGCGAAAAATTTACGATACGAAAATCTGCGAACTCGAAGACGAATTATTAGAGTGTACTGCGATAAAATAAACTGGGAGACTATTGGAATTTTTTACAAATTCTGAGATTTGCAAGTGAAAACTGACATAATCAGAGACCGATCGTTTTTCTTTTTCCGTACGAAGAAAAATAATTTGCTGGCATAGCAAATTTTATGCTGTCACAGCAAAATCTGTAGGTTACTATATGAAAAGCAAAATGATTTGTTAAGAATACTAATCGTCATTCACTGAATTATTTTGCCGAATCTACAAATTACTTTGCTGTAAAAACAAATTAGTAAATATAGGAAAACAATATTTTGTTCTAACAGCAAATTAACGTGTCCTGAGGGCAAATTAACTCAGTAGAATATTTTTTATCCCGCAAAACAAAACTGTTTCTGCTCTAATTATGAATAATTCGCTAATTTGCTTATGCCGATTAAATTTTAATGATCGCTATCGCTAACAAATAGACAGTAATAACGATGTCGTCTCGTTACAACAGCAAAATTATTTTTCTTCGTGTGCGCATAAAAATAACAAAGCGAAATATTTTTCCTCATCTATCGCAGAGCGCGAATCTGTGCGACAGGAGGAAAGATACAACAATGAAGAAAGGAAAACATCGTACTTTCGAGTGCCGTGAAAATGATAGTACAGCAAGATCACGAGTGCAGTTCCGGCTTTACCGTGACGTTCTATCGCATTGTTCCATTGATCCGCGGAATTTTTCGGTAGCTCAAGGAGACCTTGGCGTAAAACATTCGTGAACTTAATCGCGTCTCTGGAGAATGCCGTTTTGCCGAGGATATCCAGGATGCGCGATAGCAATATGCAAATGCTCCTTTGTACATTCCCCCTATAATGTGAAACGTGGTTTCGGCGCAACTGTACTCCTCTCAGTGGTTTCAACGCAACCGCGCTTTTTCAAGGTAACACTCAAACTTTAACGTTGGCACGTAACGCATTAAATTTATTTTACAACGCTGCGGGACTCGGTAAACAGTGCACTTTCGCACTCAGACAATAATACGGTATGATATAACGGTAACACGTGAAAAAAATTTGTCTCGTATATCTTTAAGAAACTGGGATGTATTGCCCGTTAGTACCGTATTTTCAGTGGCGCACCAAGGCCATTCTAAATTTAGTATTTATCAAGCAAAATCACGTTACTATATATTTCTTTCACTGTCTAAATAATAAATTTATTCAAAAATTACAACCTAGAATATTAACATTACGTTAAAATTGTATACACTGAGAGAAAATGAATGACTGATTTTGCTGAAATTATAGTCCCTTTCGTCGACAACCATACTTTTTGTTATTCTAACAAGAAAATTTTAGCAATTTGCACATAAGATTATCATTATTAACGCTAATTTATCAAAAAAATGGTTTTCCTGGCTATAATTATTTCATTATGCAATAATAGTAGCAAATACTAAACGCTATTTTCTCAATTTATGTAGAGATGATCAAGGTTCTAAATTTAAAATATCTAAGATCTACAATAATCTGAATCACTTAGATAAACGTCCAAAAGATTTAGGTTCCGTTTAAGCGTGTCTTTGCGATCTCTCTCGCGCACTCGCGTGCCTAAGGATTCTTTGAGGATAATATCAGCCTTTCGCACTTTAAGTTAATGCTTCTATTTATAAGTTGTGCAACGTATAATCTCGTTAATCCTATAGAACGTTAAGAACGACCGGCGCGACTTACGGAAGTTGCACGGTCAAGCGCAAGAAGTACTCGAGATAACCATTGGCGGCCAAGTGGTTCGACAAGTTGTCATGATTGCAGCTTTTCAGCTGGTACAGGTTGTTCAGGCAGGAGACAAGGTTCCGGTGAAACGTGACCGAGTCTATGCGCGACAAGTCCGCATCCTGTCAAAGGAGAATACACGTCGGGTTCGTTGTAACGGTGTTTCAAGCGTTCTCGCAAAACACGATTCACTCCGCGGCTGCGTGGTGTACGAATTTCCGCTCAAACCTCGTTAGTAATGAACTCTCTCTCTCTCTCTCTCTCTTTCTCTCTCTCTAATGAACAGACCTTCACGTAGGGTATAATTATTGTCATCATTGCTTCGTAGATGGAGACCGACAACTCGAACTTCTTCTGGCGAATCGTAAGGTCATCGTCGCCGATCGGTTCTTCTCGCGCGGGCTCGGTGCCGCAAAACCTGTCAAGCGGAAGTGCTCGTTGAACAAGATGGATCGGGATATTGACGTTAAGAGACCCCGGGTGCAAACCCCGGTGTCTAAAAGTAGATCGATATATCTCTCGCTCTCGCTCTCTCTCTCTCTCTACCGGGAGCCGCCGGCGCAGGTGCCGCATAATATCACCGCGGCGAGCAAAATCGCGTTATCGTCCTCGCCGTATTTCACAATTTCCGTCATCGACCTCATCGCGTCGCGGCACACGTCAATGATCATCTCCTCGTCGGGGCTGTCGTCGAAAACCGCGCGCTGCAGCACGACGTTCAACATCGTCACGGCGGTGAACTTCAGCTTATCCCGCTGCGAGTCATGCACGTCCAAGTTCTTCACGAGCAGCACAATTTGCTGCGGGACGCACACGTCGTTGAGATCCACGGCTAATTCCGATGATCTACAAATCGAACGCGAAATGAAGAGACCGTGTACGCGTGCGGCCACTTGTGACGGGAGGACCGATAATTTTCATTTAAAAAAATATAAGAGAACATCTATTAGAATTAGGAATGTAATTCTTCTTTTTCATCGAAGAAACTTAATGGTTTGAAATTTACATTTTTCTGTTCAGTAAATATTTTTTAAAAATAAATTATTCTTATTATTCCCTTACCGTTAGTTGATGTTTACCGGGAAATGTTACAAGTTCCAAGTCAAATGCGATTATCGCAAGTCGAGTTGGTTGGCGCAACAATGAAGAGTGATAACAGCTCACGTTGTGTTTAGACAAGGATCATGGAGAAAAGCCTACGTACCTAACGAGCACATTGCAGATGCTCTGCACGAGCTTCTCGGAAAGTATCGAGTCTTTGAGTGATTTATTTATACAGTAAGTGAGTCTCAACATCGACTCCACGGCATTCATGGCAGCGTGATTCTCGTAAAATCTCTTGTGTATGCTCGCGAGTTCGAAGCATTTGAGAGCGACTCTGCAGAAAAGAAATAGTCTCTCTCTCTCTCTCTCTCTCTCTCTTTTTCTTTACATAGAGAGAAAGATTGATTTGGGTTTAATGAAATTTCTTTAATTGAAATAAATTAATCTTTTAGAATAGAGCTAACAAACGAATGTTTGATTCAATAAATAGGATTGTTGTTTCTCAAACAATAAATATATGTCAAATAACATATTTCTTTTGTATTTTTATCCAAATAATAAAAATATTACACTGACGTCACAAACAATAAGTTCTTTGAAAGAAGCAATACTATATTAGACAAATATTAAAGAACATCTTTTCGTTTCAGTGGAATATTTAATATATGATGAAATAAATTTTTGTTATTGAAAATGAAATATTAGTTTCTTTAAATAATACTGTTGGTTCTATCAAACAATATGATTTATTCTAGTAAAAAAATATTTTAATTCAAACGAAATAATCGATATTAAATTATGTTGTTTATATTAAAAAATGCGAGTCAAATAAATATGTATATCAAATCCAAATAAACCTTTTTTTCTATTTTTCACGGATAGGACAAGTTAAATGTAGCGAATGTAACGTTCATATTGGAGTACGAAGAGATGGCATACCTGACGAAATTGTCGTCCGATGTTTGCATGACGTCGCATATGGTAGATATTACGTCGAATCTGACGAGTTTCCACACGATAACGTCCTGGTCAGATTGAGTCGCATTTTTCAAGCACGACAATATGCGTTCGATCGTCACCTATTGTTATCGCAACGAATAGCAATTGATATACGATAAAATAGCAATTACGACGCAACATTGGAAACAATCAAAACTCGTATCTACGCGTCGCATCGTTTTTAGTGCTAAATGGCTAAAGTCGCCGATCATTTCCGTAACTTCCTTCTCCACGATTTGAATACCGGGGCGAGAGGGGGGAGGAGGATCATATAATACATACAATAGGGTGCGTTCGCGAAGACGCTATTTAACGCTTCCGCGTCATTCTATCCTTGTTGTATACGTAAAGAGTAATAAAGATAGAATGATACGGTAGCGATTAAATAGCGTTTCCCCGAACGCACTTATAATGCACCAAAAATGCCACGTATGCTGATGTATTCGGGAAGTAAATTAATCTGGGCAACCCTCCTACAGCAACTATTCTCAAACACTTAGATTCGTATTTCTAGTCGTCGCTCGGAACTCGTCTTACAAAAGACGACTCCGATCCGAATTTCACAAGTTGGACGTGAGTGTTCTAGTTGAATCGCGATCACGAGTGTAACGTCACGTATACCGCACGATTCGCCTGAAAAACTCTGATCCAATTCCAACCGAATTCTACTGTCTCACATGCGACAAGTTTCAAATAGCGACTAACAGCACGAGCCTGAATAACAATCGCATAACGACGCTAAATTGTGAAGAGGGAGAAGCATTATAATGCTCGTTTTTAAAAGCTTCTCGTACGGGGCAAGCGAGGTATCGTAACATCGATCGCCATAATCTGCAATCGACGATATTTTTCGCAAATAAAACGAGGAATTTCGATTGCTCCCCTGGACGCTCAAGCGACCAAGATACATCTCGGAATTCGACGGAAAAAACACGATGGAAAAAGTTCGTGCCGAGGCCATTTTATGTACGCAGGACGCAAGATGCAACGATACGCGAGCAGGTAGGGACGCAAGTGTGCGTTAACCGCATTCACCTGTGCGCTTCCCGACAGCAATTTCTGCTTCATGTACGGCAGCAGGCTGTTCTCGTCGTCCAAATACAACTCGAACAACTTCTCCATCGCGATTAAACCAAACGTTTCACGGATGCACGAACGACGACCGTTACACGCGCGATCCAAATGGCCGAGAATCGCGCGAACAGTCTCGAGGACGCTCGCGAGAGGGCTCTCGGAGCGTTAACACCGCTCATATTTAGATACATGTTTTCAAATTAGAGCCTGTTTTCAGAGCGTAGCCAAATTCAGAAAGAGTTTCGAGAGCCCTCTCGCGAACGTCCTAGAAACTGTTCGCGCGATTATCGGCCATTTGGATTGCGCGCGTAACGATCGTCGTTCGTGCATCCGTGAAACGCTTGGTTTAATCGCGATGAAGAAGTTGTTCGAGTTGTATTTGGACGGCGAGAACAGCCTGCTGCCGTACATGAAGCAGAAGTTACTGTCGGGAAGCGCACAGGTGAGTGCGGTTAACTCGCACTTGCGTCTCTACCTGCTCGCGTACTGTTGCATCTTGCATCCTGCGTACATAAAATGGCTTCGGCACGAACATTTTCCGTCGTGTTGAATTCCGAGATGTATCTTGGTCGCTTGAGTGTCCAAGAGGGTAATCGAAATTCCTCGTTTTATTTGCGAAAAATATCGTCGATTGCACGATCGATGTTACGATATCTCGCTTGTTCCGTACGAGAAGATTTTTAAAACAGGCGCTGTAGCATTTAACTCTAATGGCAAAGTGAGGTCATATTGACTCCACGGTTTCTCGTATTTTACAGCGTGCACGCGCTGTTTTTTTTTTTTTCAAGGAATATTTCCTGTTATTATTTACTTCTTTTATCCATTATATACATTGATTATGTGAAAGATGAACAAAACAGAACACGAGGTTGAATCTGACTTCACCTTCCTGTATACATTGAAAATTCATCTTGTCATTAGAAAGTTAGAGATAAAATGTGTACATAACAGATTAAATAATTCGTCATTGAATTGAATCATTACTACTCTATTATTATTGGGTTATAAATTTGGCTAAGATTTGCCATAAGGTCATGTTGCTTGTAAAGTGAAGGTCCGTTTGACTAGCTGTTGAGTCGAACTACTACCAACTTTGTTCTTATATTGTAAACGCTTCGAGACTTCGACATTCATAATAACTGATCTCTTGAAAACTGATTCAATACAACTAAAAACAGACTTCTTAACACCATCTAGTGGTGTCGAGAGAAATCCCATTACATCAGGCGGGTTTGAATCTTGGCTAAGTAGAATAGCACAGCATTTATGTGTGTGATTAAGCTCTTTTGTATCTGTTTGATAATTTATAACATGTTTGAAATATAAATTATAATAACTATGAATGCATTTGCTAAATAGCTGTGTCTGACTATGATTAAATATTCTATAGCTGTCTTATGTCTGTTTCTATCATCACGATTTAAATCTAATCGAATATTAATTTAATAGAATTGACCAATCGTATTGACCAGTTTAGTTAATTAGCTACGACTCAACGACTGGTCGGACGAACTCTTATTTTTTTCAATAAGCATGCATATTCAATAACAAATCAATTGAGCCCTTATTTTTTGATAATATGAACAACGGATCAGTAGACTTCTGTTTCTATTTGTTAAATGTGAAATAAAGTTTTCGGGGCCAAGGAACAAATTATGTTGCTGGTATATTGAAATTAACATTATACACGCAAGAGGTCAACGTAGTTAATAAATGCGTTTATGGTTACTGTAGTTTATTTCAAACGTGTTATAAATTATCATACAAATACAATAGAGCATAATCGTAATATATTATAAATGTTAAACAATCCTGAGAGTAATTACTCTACATAAGAGACGATCGTAGTGAATTTTTAATATCTTCTGTCGTCTTAATATCGAGAGAATCACTGGAACGAATCGCAATAATATATAATATATAGAATACAATAGTAAATATATATATATATATATATGTATATATAAACAAACCATACAATATGGAAGAGGGACGAAGGGGACTGACAGGGATATTAATCGTCTATTTATATACCTTTGCTTCTTAATAAAACGTCATAAACTATACAGTATTTAACATCAAATGATCGCAACCTGAAAGAAGAGAACATTTACATAATGAGAAAATGCGGTAATACACGGTGCAATACGATAACGCCGTATTTTATGTGCAAAATCTATACATAACAAGAGAAACAAGCGTAAAACGATCTCTTCGTTCTCAAGTAATGAACTAAAAACTTCCTTTTTTGCATCTCTCTCTCTCTCTCTCTCTCTCTCTCTCTCTCTCTCTCCCTCTCTCTCTCTCTCTCTCTATCTTTCTCTCCCTTCTCCCCCCTTTTTTTCTACATTCGCTCAACCTCGACGATATGTCTTCTCTATAACATCCAAAATCGTACGATTCCAAAAGTATTTATCTAAAGATAACAAACTCAACAGGATCCTCTCTGAGAATAGACATACGCGAGTATAAAAGTGAATTTGACCGTCGTACAACCGAACGTTAACTTTCGCTTTGCGAAGTGCTCGACAAATTCTTCGTAACGATCAAAACTTAACTGCCAGAGTAGGATTTAATTGCACGAAACCCCTCAGTTAACAAGATACTAAAGTTTCCTCATCGGTGTTAATGCAAATTCCGAAAAATCGCGAAGACCTGAAGTGAATTCTCGGTCTAACGCAGTTTCACATCGAAAAGTACACGAATTCTACGCTACACTTTGACAATTATCACGACGATTATTACATATATACGATTCATAATAACGCATTTCCTCGACTTACTTTTATTTTAGCACCAAAGAGCACACTAACCAGCAAGATCGCCTTGACACGTAGAGTTACTGATGATAATTTTTCTAACTTTTCATTTCTTGTCTGCAGCACATTCGTGCGTCATGACTGTTCACTGACGAATGCAGAGACGGTGTGTCAAGGTAACATTCTGTCATTGTAATCAATGTACGTTTATTATGTTTCTCAGAAAAGTTAAGAAAAATAAATAATAAATAATTGAAAATTATTGTAACTAAGTATTATAATATATTCTGCGTTATTCATCGTTCGCTATTATTTTAATTTAAGAACGTGCTGTGTATATTTATAAAAAAAATAATTCATGATAAAAAAATCATATATATATATATATATATATATATATATATATTGTTATACAATTATATAATAAAATATAATTATATTATATTTAAATGTTATACAATTATATAATAAAATATAATTATATAAAAAAAATATAATTATATAATATGTAACGTACGTATCAAGTTATATAATATTACTATTAAACATGATGTTTTTGTTTCTTCAAGTGTAAGCACGTCGTAATCCAGATATTTTCCTAAATATTATCTGGATCTTACACTTATAATTTAAACTATGGTATCCATTAATGACTAATTTCATAATAAAAAATACCAAATATCCTCAAATATTGCCTCGCAAATTAATACTGGTAATACCTCGTTACAACAATTTTTAATTATTTGTTATCTGCCTCTCTTGACTACACCGAGACATGCAAACGTAGAATTAACACAGTGGCAAATTACTGCTCCGACACATCGTGCACGTTTCTCTGAATAACGATAACAATGCACGAATGTCCCGTAAAGAATGCGCGAGATTAAGAAATTCCTAACTACACACAGTAATCTAATTATACACTGTATGCAAATGAGTTATTCTGTCGGTTAACGCACGTCTTAAGGGAGTTTCGCGCGGGTGATCTTTCGCGACGAATAATGCCCGAAAACGCACACTTCCAAAATCGACGGTCGCGATAAAACGCTCATTCGTTCGCAAAACTACAGTTAAAAAGATTCTCATTTAATTTCTTATCAAAGTTTAAATGTGGATATCAAAAGAGCGGCCGAGCGGCGCGCCGGTAAACATGCTTAGCAAAATTTCTCCGGGAAAAATTCAGTCAAAAACGACCCGTTGCGACCGGTAGGCTTTCGCGACGAGCTTTCGACGTTCGCGCGCGTTTCTTCTTTCTTACACCATTGAAGGAGAATCACGAAGCGTCACACTTGTCCCGGACAATCGGGACTCGCTTCTTCCTCGGCATATTGAATCATGTTTACCTGATAAACATGCTCAATATTGTCGCGTGACGACGAGCGCGATCGGCGCATTTTGACACCGGCTCGTCAAGAAGTTCATCCGAGCCTCTCGCGCGGCAACCATCTTTCGTACGGCAGTGCTGAGAGTCGCGCGACTCGCGCTCACGCGAATCGCAAGGAAAATACGGTATTGTCTGAACGATCTATCCGTGCGGATTTACATTTTACAGAAGCTCGTTGGTCCGTGAGTGACGTGATATCGAAACACTTTCAGTCTTACATTCTCAGAGCGGAGAAGCGGCGCGTATCGGAATAACGCGCACGTCAGAATACTTTTTTTTTTGCTTTCTCTTTCTCGGAATACTTCTCGTTTCTTTTTTTGTTTCTTTTTTCTTCTAAATACTATCCGATACTTCGATTTTTAATACTTGTACAAATGATATACGCGAAATATTATTGGACCTGCTCAAAATTTGTCATCTCTAAATATGTTCAAAGCGATCGTTTCGTCATTCGTTTCTTCATCGTTCGTTTCTACATTCGTTCTCGCGTGCTATCCTCGCGCGGGTCTCCTCGCGTCGTCGAGTTACATCGAATTACATCGGAAAAAAGAGAAATGCATGGGGGTTCAGAGCTCGAAACGCTTCTTCCGTTCGGCGACCATGCCGACGGCGGGCAGAGGAGGATGAAGTGGATGATGGTAACTCGGTGTGGGCGTTGGGGGCAGGCTGCGGCAACTTCTGCTGGACCACCTCACTGGTGGAGACCTCATCAGCTCTGCAATGTACAAACGCGCGACGGTTATTCACCTAGTTATATACTTTCACTGCGAAGGTATACCGCGAAAAACGGCCGGAGCGAACGTGAGGCTTTCGTGCGGGAATTACAAATTACAATTACAAGTCTGTTCACACACAAAGGATTGCAAGCGCACACTTCGGGGAACGAGACGCGAGCGTTGTACGAAAGTGAAGACGCGACGAGCGAAAGCGACCACAGGCAGAGCCGAGCGCGCGAACGGAATGATAATTTCGTCCCCTTCGAATCGCAAAACACGCGTAAGGACTTAAGCAGAATGGTAGACTTATAAAATATGTTTTTTTAAGAAATTTTGTTGAAATTTGCACTATATGCAAATTTAAATATTACCCAATTATTGGCGCAATTATAAGTAAATCGACTATTCGGAAGCTGAGATATTCGCAGCTAAAGATGACATATATTATACGTATTCCTTGAGATTAATTTTCCACTTTTAATTCCTATTTTTAATTTCTTCTAAATTACATTTAGGATTTTTATGAAAAACCAACTATGATATTAATATAGAAACATTAAACTTTTAGGATTGACTGTTTTGCTTTGAAAATATAGCGATGTAAAGTTTATAACTTACAGTAATATACTCAAAATATTATACCGCATTATAATGCATCATAAAAAAGTAAATTTAAAAAAATGATAAGGTAGATAAAGAGTTAAGGCATGAAACATTATCTTGAGATTACAAGTCAGCCGTTCTGCAAAAGCCTTTGAGCGCCAATGGATAAGGCCAACGGACCTGCAACGGCGAGAGCTGTGGGTTCCGGGGTGAGGCGGGATGTGTGACGAGCGTCGGCACGGAGGGTGTATGTCTCCGGGAGCTGTTGCTGCTGCTGCTGTTGTTGTTGCTGCTGATGCTGCTGATGTGGCTGCTTTTCATTCTGTTTGTTCTCCTGCCACCGGCCGCCAGCGCCGCCGACTCGCATCTCTGTTGTGCCACCTTACATTTCAAATCATTGCCGAAACACTGTTACGCTCCTCTGTATGCACATTGCCATGCCGTCGCTCGTGACATATCTCCGCGCGAAGGCAACGTCCCGTCGAGAAAAGAAAAAGAAAAGAAGAATAGCCGCCGGAATATAATGGTACCTTCTATGTAACAATATCTTTACATCTAGTGCCTTTGATTATCGTATTATCGTGTTACTTGCAACTTCTTTTCGCTTTCTCCGGATGTAATCTACATCTTCGCGTCTCTCGAGTACCCTTTGAACGTCTTGAAGTGGCGGAAACCCCGAATTTTGATTTTACGTCTTGATTTAACCTCGAAGACAGCTTGTGAAGTTTCAAGCGTCACTTGAGGTGATCGCTATTGTTATCGCGATTTTTCCTAATCAAAGATGCGCCAGTGACCAGACTAGCAACTGGAAAAAGTGACACACGTTTTAAACAGGCCAAGAGGACGCCACTGAGTTCTCCCGAAAGCTCTGACGCGGACATTTCCCGTGGGAATTTGTGAGGACTCGCGGTCTGCACGTCACCGGCGTATCCCCGAGTTACGCACGTTACGTTAGCTAATTAGTTATATCTAGAGATTAGACATTTACAGCGTACAGCGTTACATTCATGATAAGGCAGGGTTACTTTGCGTATTGCACGTTGCAAACTTGTACACAACGCGTGTTAGACAAGTAACCAGCGTTAGGCAAGCGTTACGCACAATAATCCTATATGATACTTTGATATAGAGTTACAGGCACACTTTCTTATGTTGGAACGTTGAAACATGTACACATATACCTTCTGTTAGATATCGATATAACTAATATAACGAAGTACGATTGATCTGCCGTGATCCACCGTCATATACGGGAAAAACAATTCCGTTGCTTGAGGACCAGACGAAAACTCGATTAGGAGCAGAAAGATTCCCGCAGGAGCTTTCTATTCAGTTTATCGCTCTCAGTGGCCTCAACCGAGCAGCTGAATGTTCACACGAATGTGCTCAGTCGCGAACACAGAGATGTCATTTCTCGTCACCGAGCTTTCATCTGGTCCATATTCAGCCAGGTGTTCCGATATTCACTGCCAATACTGAGAGTCTACAGTTTATGTTGCAATCAAATACAAAAAAAGAAGTAACCAAGAAGAAATAAACCGGCAACTGGGAACCAGACGCTGATGATGGAGCGATCTGTTTATATACATCCAAATATTAAATATTTGGATGTACATATAAATGAATCGCTCCAACATCAGCATCTGACTCTAAATTGCTTGTTTATTCATTTCGTTTTTGCATTTGATTGTACATCACTAGAGTCTTAATACTCTTAAAGTTTATGTTATTATAGATTGTCGGTACATATATATTGCAGAGCGAATATAGGAACGCAGCTTCAGTTGCGGAAATCGGGATCTTTTTTTCATGCGGTCCCCTTTACGGAAACTGACGGAATAACCAAAGGTGTCGTCACGTGACACGAAGAAACGGCCGAAGTCCATACATGCGATCAAGGCCAAGCTCTCCCCGCGAACGTAACAACAATCGCCGAGATTTACCGCAGATAATGCACGGACATCTACTCGCGGTCTTCGTCGTACCAGTCCAGCGATACATTCTAAACAATGTTAATATCTCTCGCAAGCGCTGTGTTAATTTCCTTCCAAGAAGCACGCGTGTTAGTCTTTCATGTTCTCCTTTCGCGCCGCAACGACGATAACGATCACGAGCGATACATCGAAGCCTTGATCTCCTCCTCTTTCTCTTTCTACTTCCCTTTGCTCGCACCATGTTGGAAAGCAGACCTCGTCTCAGTTGCATGCGGGGAATCGCCGGGTGAAGATCTCCTTGAACGAACCGACGTAGTCGATCGCGAAGCCAACGATACACCAGCCAAATTCGCGCAACGAGCATAGTAATATTTTACAAAAGCACCGTGTGCTCTCCCACTGTCCGAGAGACCGACAACAACCACATTCCACCACCGCAGACCTCTTTCTTTCATTCTCTCTCCCTCTCTCTCTCTCTCTCTCTCTCGCTCACTCTCTCTCTCTCTCTCTCTTTCGTTCTCTCAACGCACTCCGTTCACCTCTCTTCTGTACCTTGATACTGATGAGGCAGTCCGCTCCTCGGTCTCAAGCTGTCCCACAACGGCGAGCCCAGGCCGTTACGCTCCTGACCCTTTTGCTCTAAGCTCGCCGAGTCTTTCCCGTCGTGCGACGGCGCGCCGGAAGTACCGCCCGGTCTAGCCAGACTACTCGTGTACGGCAGGGAGACGGACTTAACGCGTTCGAGCTTGTACGAGAACGCGCTCGGCCGGTCCGCCTGAGAGAGCGATCGCTTTTGCAACGCGCCGGACATGGAGGAGCCCTTCGAACTTCGCTCGCTCGTTACTCTCTGTTCGCTGCTGCCACCGGCGCCGACGACGCCGCTCGTCCGGGCGGCCGGCGACTCTTGGTTACTCCTGGCGCGCTGCGGCGAACAGGCCGGCGAGTAGTCTAGCGACGGGGCTTTCGACGGCACACCGGACGATTCACGAGGGGTGTCCCCATGCTGTTAGTGAGAAATATCGAAAATATGCGTCAATGCGGCTGATGATGCGGGCGGTGTGACGGGCTGGGGACGTGTCGAATCGCTTGCCGACGAACCGCGGCCGCAATCTCGAACTCGTCTCGACGGTGGACGCGTGCGTTGTTCCGAAAAATAAGGCATCGAAATTCAAAAAGTGGAACAATCTTCCGGAAAATCGTAATCCGAATAGCAAGAATCATCTCCCGGAATATTAGAAGCGTCTGATTGCATGATCAGTCATCAAGGATGCAATATTTATTATTTTCGATGAGTTTCGTAAAGCATCTCGTATCCAATAGGAAAAGTCTCTTGAGGATTGTTAAAAAACAAATTCTTCTTTTTCATACTGAGATGCGTTCCGAAACTTATAAAAAAGTGTCGCAAACTTTTTGTGATTCTCCGTACAATCGGGTGCAATAATATCCACTCGTTTGAGTACAGCAAGAATGTATCCAAATGGATAGATATTAATACGCCTATGTGGTACTGTGTCTTCATGTTTTGAAAGTCTTGAAACCAAATTATCAACCGAGACACTCGAGACTCTCAGGATATTTCAGGGTTTCAGAATTCGCGACAATCTTTTCTCGGTTTCGTGGAACGTTCCAAGCGTCTGGTGAATCGCTTGAAAACTTCGTAGACAAGAGATTCGAACGTCCATCATTAAGTGCGGGGCGAGGGGATGGTTAAACGCTATATCAAGTCGCTGCTGTTCGCTGAGTTACAATTATGGCATTTGCGACAGCCGTGAACACGAGAGATCGGTTCACCGAGACGAACTGATATATATACAGGTCGATATGTAAGTGCAAACGGATGAGTACCAACCGGTTACGACGAACGGGGAAGGAGGAGTGAGGGGAAGGAGGACAGTTAATGAAAAGCGCAGGGTGAAAATTCTTGTCTTACTCGAGCGACTGAAGTACTGCCACGTCACAACGGCCAGAACCTCGTCGTCGAAGCGCGACAACAAGCTCTCGCCAGGCGAAACATCATAATATGTAATTACGAGCGGCGGCAGTTAATCTGATTTTCAGCAATATACATGTTGTTAACCACATTTTTTTCTACTCAGCTGCAACCCCGCGTCTAACCGACTTTCGTACCTTCAATTGCTGTTGCAGTCGATGTATCTCCTCCCGCGGTTCGGCAAGCTCGTTGTCTCGACCACCCCGTAGAATCTGTATCGTGTCGTTGATACCGCCGCTGTCGTTCGTCTCCAGCACGAGATGCGCCCTCAGCTGCTTGTTCCTCGCGTCCAATTGCATGATGTGCTGCTGCGCCTGAGCGAGCTGCTTCGATAGATTGCCTACCTTCTCCTCCAGTGCGGCGGACTCCACGCACTTGGACGAATACTTCGCAGACAGAGAGAGAATCTCCTGCTTTATCTCCTCCATTTCTTCTCTGAAAGAAATAATATACAATAGTATAGAATATATAACACGGAGAGATTTTGATATCTATTAATATATAAATAAAGGAAAGATATATAAAAGAAAATATGCAGGATGTTACGTGACATACTGTATAAATTTAAGAAGCATGTTTGTAATATACAAGGTCGGACACCTTGTACAGATTGAAGTAGAAAATGATCTATCTTATCTATCTATAAGTGTTCACAGTTTATAAATGACAGCACAATTTTTTGGAATATGTTTTATGTTTGTGCGATACGTCACGTAACACCCCGTATAAAATGAAATAAATATAATATAAACGTAAGAAAAAAAGACAATATTAGGTTGGTGCAAAAGGGAAGTTTGTCGCATTTTCCAACTAAAACAAAAAAAAAATAAAATATACCCAATTTTGAAGGATTAATAATTTTTACAAATTAAACAACATCGACTCGGTATTTTTGAGACATCTAACAAGGACTTTCTATACTTGTTTTAGAATATCCAAATTTCCTACGAAAATTAAATAGAAAAATTACGAATCTTTTGTACCGACCTAATAAGAAGTATGTAACTGTACGGAGAAGGTGTATTAATTTCAATAGTAGAACTCGCTGAGCGGTCGAGGCGGAAGCTTCGCTTTACGCACTCGTGTTCCTTGTGAAGTACTCCGATGTCCTCGCGCGCTTGCATCTGTTTGATGAACTCCTGCTTGAACTTGGCAATCTCCTTCTGCACCTCGTGTTCATGCGCCTTTCTCATGGCGTCCAACGCGGCCAGAGTCGCCTGGGTCTCCTCGGAGAGCGCTTGCTCTTTCTCCACTCTGAGGCTCTCGAGCTCTTGTCGATGTTTCTCCTCCATCTCGGCGATAATGCGTCTATGAGAATTCTCCATCGCCAACAGACCTTTCTCGCATAGGGCGCGCAGCTGCTTGATCTCCTCCTTGTATCTCTTCCGGGTCTCCGCGTCGGTGTCCAACTCGGCGCTGATCGATCGCTGATAAGCCGCTCTCAGCTCGTTCACGTGAGCCGAATGCTCGGAATCCATCGCGTTAAGACGGTGCTCCAGCTTCCTGGCGCGCTCGCGCAAGCTGGCCGCCTCCTGCTCGTACCGCGACGTGAGGGACTGGCGTTGGCTGTCCAGCTCACCCTTGATGTCCATCAGATCCTTCTCCTGATCGCGCTTGAGCGTCTCCAGCTCCTGATTGTGCTCGGCGGTTATCCTCTGAATGGTATCTTGAAGCTGACCGCAGGTCTGACACGAGACGCTGTTCACGTAATCGCTCAGCTTCCTGATCTGCTCGCGCAGGTGGGAGCACTTGTCGCACACGCCGGACCAATCGGTGACGTTGCCGGACCACTTGGACCAAGCGACACCGTCGACACTTCCGCCCGCCGCCTTGTCCCTCATACACTTGCTGAGCCCCGCGAGGTCCTCCTCCAGGTGAAACAACGACTGGCTGATGTTCTTCAGCTGCTCCTTCGACTCTCGCTTGCCGGTGACCCTCTCCTCGCATTCCTTCGCCAACCGCTGGTAAAGGTAACTATACTCCGCGTCGAGGATCGGATTGCCCTGAAGGTCGCAGCCCTCGTCGGTCAGGCAGGCGAGCGTGTCCTCGTTTCGAATAAGACTAGATACGAAGGTCTCCCCGGGGAATGTCATGGCCGGCTGCCGCGTGGTGTCCTGGAGAAGCGCGATCCTGGAGTCTATCAAAGCTTTGTGCGCGACCACGTCGGCGTAGTCGGTCAGCAGCTGCCGCGACTCGTACTTGGCGTCAGCGATCGTCAGCTTGCTCTTCTTCATCGCGCGGAGACACTCCTCGTAGGCCTCCGAGAGCTCGTGGATGGAGAGCTCCATCTCCTGGCGCAGTCGCGTCTGCGCCGCGTCCACCCACGACTCCAGCCTGACGTGGTCCGCGCTGTCGAAGCTGAGGCAGGTGTCGGCGATCGACGTGACGTTCCGCTCGTACAGCTGCCCGTAGCGCATGATCACGTGCGACACCTCCGCCTGCACGAGCTCCTTGCTCACGGTCTCCTGGGCCAAGGCCCAGGCCTCGCGAATGCGCCTGTCCTCGAGCAGCTTCTTGCTCGAGCCGCCGACCTGCTTGCAACCGAGGTTGTCCTCCTGCTCCGACAGACTCAGCGTCTCGGCGGCCAACGCTTCCGCGAGCTGCCGCAGCTTCGTGTCCTTGTACTTCCGCATCATCTCGTTCACCTCCCGCTGCTTCTGCAGCAGGAAGTTGAGGCTCTCGCTGCGAGCCGCGCTCACCTCCTTCGCCGTGTCGGCCGCCTGCCCTACCAATACTAACTTATTCGCTAACACCTTAGTGAGATACTGAATGTAATTCGTGTTTTGGTACGTTTTGGGCTTGGTTCCGTGAATCTTACGCTTTAAGCTTGAGGCAAGCTGACTAGTTTCGACCAATTCGCTGAGAACGGCGCTCCTGTCCGCGGTGCGGTTCAGCGCGCACTTGATCTGCCTGAGGATCACGGACTCGAAGGCCACCCTCTCGGCGAGCAGCTTCGTCTTCTCCCGCTCGTCCAGCCGGCCCTCCTGCGCCAGCATCTGCCGTCTCTTCGTGAGTTCGCTCAGTTTGTCCTTAAGTATAGTTTCTAGCCTAGATACCGCTACTCCTACTGACTCGGTGACTTGAGCGCCGGCTTGGCTCTTCTTACATTCTAAGCACGAGTCCAGTATGTCGTTCACCTCGCGCAAACACTTCTCGGCTTTGTCCTCCGCCTGTGTCGAGCCGAGGCACTTCTCCAGCCGTCGCTTCGACTTGGCGACCACTCGCTCGAGCTTCTTCAGCCTCGCCAGCACCTCCAGCGACACCTCGGAAGAGCCGCTGACCTCGCTGCACTCGCTCGAGTCCTTCTCCGCGTCGCTGGCCATGGTCTCGGCGACGACGTTCGCCACCTTCGTCTCCAAGGTGCTCAGTCGGATTAATACTTTCATCGGCTCGGAGCTCGTCGCGCTGTCCAGCGACTTCCGGCGCAGTCTGGCTCGGTCCAGGTTCTTACTGTCCCGCCGCTTCTCTTTCTTCAGGTTCGGACTCGACTCTTTCGAGCTGCTGCCCGCGGAGACGGGAGCGCTGACGCTCTTGCCCCGCTCAATCGCGCAGATCTTGTTCTCCAGATCCAGCAGTTTGTCTTCTACTTCCTGCGAGATCTGGAAAGATTCTCTTCCTTTGAGGGAGAGCGACCGCCTCTTGTCTCTGGTCTCAGCCTTCGTCAGCTTCTGCTTCAGCGTCCTGACTTGCTTCTCGCTGGCCGCCAGCTTGTTGGTCAGATCCTGGATCCTCGCCGCCATTAATTGCGCTTGCGCCTGATTGGTCTCGTTGACGCTGGCCGCGTCTTGCTTGTGAGCGAAGATCTCCAGCTCCAGCACATCCTGCGTCGCGTGAGCCTCTCGCAGCTCTTTCCTCATGGCTCGAATCTCCATCACGGCCTTCTCGAAGCGGCTTCGCAATTCGTCGTATTCTTCCACGACTCTGGAACGAGAACGTTACGCGTCTAACCGCCCATTGCAACGACTATTGTAGGCTTCACGATAAATATATAAATAATATAAATAAATATAAATAAATCTTTTACCTTTCCTTGTCCAGCGCGGTTAGATCCAAGTCCAACTCGATGTTAGTCAAGTCGCTGAGTGAGTCGAAGCTTCTCCCGCGTTCTCTCGAAACGGACAGTCCATTCTTCTCCTCTAATTCCCTCACTCGGTTGTAGAGACGCTCGTTTTCCTCGATACCTACGTTAGAGAAGCATATCCATCAACGATTGTACTTGAAACTCTCTTTCGGGCTCCTCAAGCTAAATGTGAAATCAAGTGAAAAGTAAATAATTAAACTTAAATGTATGAAAATATGAATTAAATTTGTTGCCGAACATCGTATTCAAAATGTCAATAATTTCAATTAAATCTAAATGGGAGGAATATGTGATTAAAATTTTTTACCGAACTTTGTATTCAAAATGTCACTGAAATTTCAAATTGAAATTAATTCCAATTAAATTGATTCAATTTCACACTAGCGTACACGCTCACCTTGCGACAGTCTGTCGCCGAGAGCCGACATTTCCGCTTGCAAATGTTCAACGGTTCTGTGACTGGACGCGAGCTCGTTCGTGAGCATCTCGCATCTCTCCGTCGTCTCGCGCAGGATAGCCTCCGTTTCCAGCAACTTGCACTCCAAAACCTCCTTCTCTCTGCTGTACACCTTCTTCATCTTCTCCAGATCCTCCAGATCCTTGTTCCTCTGTTGCTCGGTTCTCTGTATCGTGTTCAACAACTCATCCACCTGCTTCTCCCGGATGGACGCTTCCACCTTCTGCTGCCTCAGTCTGGCCAGCTCCTTCTCCGCGTTCGCGACGTCCGTACGCGCCACGTTCAGCTGCGACTTCAGGCTCTCGATTTCGTTCTCCTGACGCTCGACAATGACTAGTAGCGTGCTCGGGTGAGACTGATTCTGGTCCAGCTGATCGTGCAGCAGCGACACCTGATTCTCCAAAAGTTCAACGATCAAGGGACTGTCGTTGGCGCTCGAGAGGCAGCTGTTGCCTTGCAAATGGCCGTTGCTCTGCTCCTCGTCCTCGCCGAGTTCGCAGCAAGCCATCATCAGGTCCTCCGACCTCACGCTGTCCAGGGTGCTTCTCCTCGAGCTGGGTGGCGAGCTACGGCTTCTCTTGTAAACCCGCGACCTCGAGCTCGATCGAGACCTGGCCTTCACCCTGGACAACGCGGTCCTTGTCAGTGGCGGCGAGGGCGGCAGTTCGGACCATTCGTGGTTCGCCGAGTCCGACCAGCCGGAACCCTTCAGAGCGATGGGCCAATCTCCGTTTCTCACGAGCGGCGGAGACACCGGGATCTCAGACCAATCGCCGGACTCTCGGCGTCCACCCTCAGAAGCGGTCCTGTACTCCTCGTCGGAGGAGAACAGCACCGATCTCGGTGTGATGGACGTCGAGGCCACGACGGAGTCTCTCTCGCGGTCTGTGATGGATCTGCGGCATAAATTGAACGCGGTTGTAAATTTGTTTGTTCAACGCGACGATATATCAAAGCATTCGAAGTGGCGTGTGCCTTACACGGTGTTAACCCGTGTCGTAGGAACTCCATTTCCCAAAGTTTCTTATAGAACTTCAAAAACATGGCGTCCTTCAGGTTTTAAATTAGTTTTAAAATTAACGGGGGAACAGGTTAGATTCAGATTTAGAAGCTGAAAGGTGCCGACGCAGTGTTTCTCGTGTTTTATAACAAATTGTAATTTTTATAACTTTTATAAAACTTCCGTAGAGAATTATGATTTTTATAAGGTTCCTACACGGAAAAAAAATGCCGTTGAAGGTCTATCTGACAGTGAACAAAGAAAACGCGTTTGGCTTGAAATTAAAATTGGAAACAGAATTTCTGGCTCTTACGATCCAAATTCGATTCATATAATCAGAAATTCTGCTTCCTTCAACCAAGACGCGTTTAATTCCTTCATCGTCAGGTAAATTCAATCAAATTTTATTTTCCGTGTACAGGAAATTTTCAAGTCTCGTGAGGCAATACTTACGCGGTGGGAGACTGCGGTTTGGCCTCTTGCTGAGTGTCCGGGCAAACAGCGAGGGAGTCCACGTTGTTGCTGTCGGGATCAGGTAGATTGGCCGCTCTTTTGATCGCTGACATCCAACTAGACCTGATACCGGCGGTCACTGCGGAGAGCACCGTGCTGCCTCGGTCATCCCAAGCCTACGATCGGAAGTGCGCCAAGCATAAGATGCTTGCACAAGCGAGAGACAGACCCCCCCCCCCCCCCCCNCTACATTAAGTCTTCAAAGGTCTCCTATTGTGCTCCTTTGATGCTACAAATGAGAAGTTATTCTCGTTTTCTCCACTTGAAGACTTAACGTAGAATGAAAAATTTTGGCTCGAGATAGCTACGAAATGTCGTATGACTTTGCACGCTTCGATTCGTGCGAGGTACGCGATCTGCGTAGCCCGCCGGCAATCAATAGCATGAATGAGAAGCTCCGCGAGCAGCTGACTTATTCTACCGTGAAATTGAGTCAGTATTTTCTTCCGCTCCCACTCTAAACGCGGAAGCTAATCCCGGTCGCCCGACCGAAGCTGCAGCCCTCCGCGTCCGGTTCCAGCGGAAGTTTTTACACTCTTGCATTTAGACATTTTCGCTAATTACTTTTCACCCTCGCGTTGCTCTTAAATTTAAGTCCGATGGAAAAATTCAGTGTCCCGCGTCCTCTGGTTGTTTTGAAAATTAAAAAATTGAATCGTATATCTAATCTTCGTGAACAATTCAAAATATTAAACTATATTTCTGCGATTTTCTCAATTCTAATGAATAAACATGAATTAATTAAATAAAGATAAACAGAAAACATAAACTATAAGAATTAAATAAAACTTATAAATCTCGCTTCGAATTCTCGAAATAATGGATAATAAGCGGCATCGCGGCGTTGAATCCTTCAACTGGAAATGAAATTACACGTTTCGGCGTGGCGCGTTATTAGTAGTCGATTATTTTGCGCGCTACTGTTTTCCGAGAAACGTGCGGAGTCCTCCTCGTTCATGAGATCATTATTAAACTTACGACAGTCTGGAACCCGTAATTCCTCGCGACCTGAAGCGACGTGACCGCAGTGACGGTGTTCAAATCTATGACGCCGTCCATGATGCCCTTGTCCTCCGCGCAGGGGTCCCTGTAGTACATCAATCCGCAGCCTCTCAGAACAAACCAGTGCTTGTTCCACTCCTAGGCAGAAAAACGGATTTAGTTGAGCCACGCCGGTCTCCTCTCCTCTTCACCGTTTCTCCCTCCTTTCGCTCTTGAGCACGAACACGCACCTTGTTCAGTCCCTGCTTCATCAGCCAGCCCTTCTTGATGTTCAGCAAGTCCTCCGCTGGCAGATCGACCCTCAACTCGGAAGTGGGCGAATACCTGATGCCGGAAATGTCGAGACCGCAGCCGTCAGGATCGCCTCGAATCTGTACGCGAGATTCGTCAGGCACATTATTTTTTCTCATCGTTCCTATTGTCCTTTTCTCATTCTCCCGAGCTAACGAAATAGCCGAAACTTCTCTATTTTTCATTAAAAAATTGCAATTAAACGAAATTAAATGATACAAATCAAACGATACTCTTACGAAATATTTTTTGGACACACGCATTTCTCTCAAGAACAATGACAAAGAGGAAATAACTATCGTATATATATATACGATAATCTACTACTATACTATAACGTAATCATAGCAGAGTTGGCGATATTTTATTTATTTTTCTTGTCACATACAAGTTTATCCTGATGAGCGGCATTTGCAGCATCCACGACGTCCCTAGTCGGCTCCGAAGTCCTCGGCTTGATCCTCCTAGCTCGTGGTTGAGTTAACGAAGCCGCGATGTCCCGTAGCTTCCCTTCTCTCTCTCGCTCATGCTCCAGAAGTATTCTCCGACACGCGTCATCATCTGCATAATACATTTATCTTCATCTCCATACGGTGCTCCGCACGTCCACCCGTCCACCCACCCATCTACTCTTTTTCTTTGATGAAAATATAGAGGTTAATATCATCGTCTCTTGCAATTATCCAATTGTCAGCGTCGCGTACCTTTGTAATCGAATTAAAATTTGTATTCAAGCGAATTCGAAAATAGCTGAGAAGTTTGTCCTTTCGTTCTCATTATTCAATTTTGGTTAAAGTGTGTACGTAAAGATTTTCTTGAAATTTTAACTGAGAAGTTCTGGTTGCCAAAAGTTTCATTCGTCCTCCCTTAATCGCGTGTGAGTCGAAAATGATCAGCGTCTCGATATTTTCGCTAAGGAAAGACTAGTATTTAAACTAGAAACTAAAAAGACAAATATTTTTAATCAATCGGATTACCCCAAACAATTCGTCGTTAAAATATAATATAGTAAAAGTAGAGGTCACCCCATACATATTCGATACGCAATCGACGCGTTAACCGTTACTTTATATCTCAAAATGAGAACAATTCCTAGCCGCGCCATTTATTTTCGAAACGACACGAAATACCTCCGTTCATCTTCGTAATTTCAATCGGCTCGCAAATATGACTGCTAGCAACGCTAATGAATTATAATTATTGTTAAAGTATAATTGCAAAGACGGCATCCCGAGAGCGTCCGCAAAAGACAGCGGACCCAGGAGACCGTCGAACGCAAAACCGTTAAGCGGTCTTCCTGCAGCGGTGCGTTATTATCAAACATTCGTCCCGGTGCCGTGGTCGGCAACTTAACTAATTAATTTCTTTTCCGCTTAGGGGGCCCGAGCGCCGTACGTCCAAGCATGCCTTAACGTTGGCGCGGGCAAATGACTACTCCGCATTAATTGACTGCCGACTAATTAATAACCGGGTCGCTGCTGCGAGCAGCACAATGCCGCAACGAGCACCTGAGAAGCGAGAGATTTCTTTTTCCTCTGAGAGACTGCCCCGCGCGCGCGTTTCCCTTCTTGTTCATCTGAATCGTGCGTCAAAATTAAACACGTCGTCGTTACACTAACGACTCTATCAGCATAAAAAACCCGTCTCATTAAAAAGATACAATTAAATCGGCTAAAAATTTAAAGTCATAATAAAATAAGGAAAATTATTAAAAAATTTAATGATATTATTAATACACAGAGAAAAAGATTTATTTGGGTTTAATCCAAACTTTTTAATTGAAACAAATTAGTCTTTTGGAATAGAGCAAACAAACGAATGTTTGATTCAATGAGTAGGATTGTTTAGTTTCCCAATCAATAAATATCTTTACGTCAAACGACATATTTCTTTTGTATATTCATCTAAACATTACAATAGTTGTCACAAACAATAAATTATTTGAAAGAAGTAATACTATATTAGAAAAATATTAAAGAACTTTTTTGTGTATTTCTTTTTTGTGTATTTCTTTGTGTTTCAATAGAACAGTATTTAACATAACATAATAAAATGTTTTTTGAAAACGAAATATTATATTTTCTTTAAATAATACTGTTTTTTCTTATCAAATAATATACTTCTCTAGTGAAACAACGAGATTTACATTCAAACAAAATGATATTTGTTTATATTAAACAAACTCAATTCAAACAAACACGTAAATTAAATCAAAAGAAACCCTTTTCTCTGTGTATAAAGAATCTCCCGTCTCGTTTAGAAGGTACAATTGAATCTGCTGAAAACTCAAAATAAGATAAAAGAAAACAAAAAATTATAAAGAAAATATAAAAATAAAACTATGAGATAAAAATAAAATTGTAATGGTGACAAGGAAAGATCATGTTAAGATTATAGATAATAAGAATAATATGGAAAACAGGGGACGGTCCTTATAGCAGATCCGCCTGTGGCACACAGATAGAACCTATTATGCCTCTAAGATTATAGATAGAAGTTAATATTAAGAAATAAATAATAACGCTGAACCGCATTGAGGCTCGGTTTCGCAGGAGAATTGCCGGCAATTCGTAAGATTTCTCGTAAATCTAAATTCCACCAGGGAATTTTTCATCGCGCCGCGAAAGAGCGTTAGAGCTAATCGGCGATCGGCAGCTCAAATCCCCGGGTGATCCTGACGCTCTGATAACGTACGCGTTTCAATAATCCTCACGTTCGGCGTAAATCGTTAGATAGAGAAGGAGGAGATCGCTCGGCGGATTTTGCGTGCCGCGGGATTTTTCGCGAAGCGATTTCTAAAGCACCCCGTCGCTCGTCCGGCATCGATCTAAATGAAATCTACGGATCGCGCGCGAGCACAGCGCGGCCGCAGATTTTCGTCAAGATTGCGCGCACGCAATTACGCAACGTACGCAAGCGGGAGGCGGCGGCAATCGGCGATATCTCGCGGAACCTCGCAGGACAAAAATCGCGCGCCGGTGAGAACCCGCAGTTCTGAAAATCGCACGGAAACGAATCTGGATAGAAAAGAAAAAAATCTTAGCCGAGGTAATATTTTACGCAACATCGCAACACGCTAAGATAATTTTACTTAAAGAAAATCGAAATACAGGATGCAGGTTCGACGTGATAAGATTGGCTACTAATTAGCGTGTACGTTGGAATCTGAAAACTCGTTGGTAAGTTACGTTCCATCGAGCAATTTTATCTTCCTGTAGTTACTTAATTATTTATTCATAATTCCACCTGTGTCGACTCTCGTCGTCCATTAAGATTTTTCGTGATTGGAAATCTAAAAGGGAGTCCTAGATTAATAATAAAAAAAATTAACCGGACTTTCAAGTATCGCCCTTCTTTATGCAGAAACAGCGATCCTCGACCGACTTCGCCGTGAACGGAGAATTCCCCAAAATAGCACAAAGATGCATTCGTCACTGCGCTTGTAGATTTTCCGTGAGAGAGAGAAAGAGAGAGAGAGAGAGAGAGAGAGAGAGAGAGAAAGATAGAGAGATACCCGGGAACTTGATTAATACAGCTTTCTACGCGAGAACATCTCTCTTCGCAGTTAACATTATCGCGCTAACTGCTACATGTGTGCGGTATCAATTATATCGAATAAAAATAGGTCAGCCTCGACTTAATGCGTCAGCCGTTTCTTCCGCGGACTGCAAATCATCGTCATTGAGTCTGTAAAACGCAAACTGCGTAGCGGCGTTGACCCAGTTTCCCCCCACCCCCCCCGCCCCCCTCGCGGTACATATCTAAACTAGTTTCATCCGTGCGTTAAAGAATAAGGAAAAAAAAAGAAGAGGGAACTTTCGACTCAAGCTCGCGGCGCGAGGGGAGCCGCGAACACCGCCGCCTCGAGAGCTGCGTATCCTCGGATGCACTTTCGCACGTGTTTCGTCGGGACTCGGAAGTGAAATTGTATTCTTCGCAAGATCATTCTCGCCGCTATCAATTATCCGCGTCCCAATTTCAGCGTAATCTCAACGATGCGATGCGAGTCAGATTCCTAAAAAAGCGATCTGTATGCCGCGAGATCTCTCCCTGCCATTAGTTCCTTAATCGCCTTCATTGAATGCTCGCGTTATTACAAGATGGAAGACATTGAGTTTAAGATATCACGAGGTAACTCCGTGATGAAAATTCTCGCGAATCAAGCTACGGTAAAAATTCTGTCGCGCTTGAAAACGGGAAATCGTCTACCCTGGATTTGCTGGAAATCGTCGAACCGCGTTACAAGTAACGCAACCTGATTTTCGAGATTCTAAAATATGTGAAGAGACGCGAGAGAGAAACGCGCAATGACTCGTATATATTCGAGGAGAAGCGAAACTAAACGGAGTTTTCATTCGAAATAATTAATTAAAGGCTCCCAGTTACACAAAGTTAATTTCAATTAAGGCCCATGAAAGCCAAGCTATTTAATATTAAGCTTAAGAATTATTGTAATTATAGTAATTATTACAGCAATTCCTGTAAAAATTATACGATTTTCTAGTGTATAATTTTTATAGTGATATCTGAAAATTATATAATTACGTAACTTCAGCGCAAATATATCTAATATTTGGCTCTCACAGGCCTTAATTGTACTTTAATTTTTAACTTTTTTTTAACTTTAATTGCAAGGTATCGATAGACACATACACATGAGCATACATATAAACACAATCATACATTCTGCACGATGTAGCGGGAGCATACACACAGAGAAAAAGATTTCCTTGGATTTAATGAAATTTCTTTAATTGACATAAATGTCTTTTGGAATGGAGCCAAAATATTATTTCTCCAAAAAAAAAAAAAAAAAAAAAANTTTCTATCAAACAACGTGGTTTACTCTAATGAAACCATAACATTTTCACTCAAGCAAAATGATATTTGATATTAAATTATATTGTTCACATTGAATAAACTCAAAAGTCAAACAAACACATGTATTAAATGTAAAGGAACCTTCTTCTCTGTGCACGACGACCTCATCGGCCGCGGCTCGGAAGTCAACAGGGAGAAATTGTGTCTCATTGAATACTGACCTAGTTTCTCGCCGGAGGCTGCACTGGCGTCGCCGATGATGCCGCTTGTCCGCTCCCCTTGCTGATTCATCCTGCGCCTGGCCTTGTCCTCGGCGCGGAGCTTGTCCCGGGTCGGTGGTGACGCGCTGCTAGCAGGTTGGTCCCGATAACTCGATCTGCCATCATGGGGGATCATCGGTGGTTTCTCGCTGAGCGAGCCGACGCTGCTGAGGACGACGCCCGACGGAGTGGCGCTCGTCGCCGTCGAGACGGTCGTCGTGGTTGTCGAGTAGACCGCGCAGCAGACGCCGCCGTTCATCGACATCGACGTCGTCGTCGTGGTCGTCGTCGACGTCGCACCGGTCGTCAGGTAGCTTCCGCTCGAGCCGTTCTCGAGCGGCGCACCGCCACCGCTCAGCAAAGGCGACAGGTTGTTCTTCGCCTCGGTGACGTTCTGCGCGTTGCCGTTCGTCAACACGCTGTTGTTGGCAGTCGTGACGACGCTGGTCGTCACCAAAGACGGCGTCGACGAGAAGACGGACGAACATAACTCCGACGAGCCACCGCCGCTCTCGGGGATCCACGCGCTGCCGCGCGGCTCCGAGCGGCAGCTGTTGAAGCGCGGCCGCGGCGGATTCGGCGTGTTACCTGGCGAGTGAGATGAGATCTCGTATTTTTGCGAGAAACCGGAACAGCGAATTCTGTTCTCGCATCGCGGACCGTAAAGTTGTATGAGTTGATTTTTGCGAATGAAGCGGAGGAAAGGTGAACTGTTTCTTTTTTTGCCGCGTTAAAGTTACCCAGCAGCAAATTGAATGATTTTATTACGAGCCGGTCGAAAAGTTCTGTTTAAATCAAATTTCATTACATTATTTATAATTATAAGTCATTTTATGACTCTGTTGCATCCAACGCAAAGTATTCATATGAAATTATTCCTCACCAGAAAGTACTTATTATCGAATAATAACGATTATGTTTTACACGCAGAAAAATGTGTTCTACTTCTGGCAAATATTTGCCGGAGAATATTAGAATAATTATTTTACTTGGATCAAGTAAATATTACCTGAACCAGCATTTTTTCAATGTGTAATAAGGAAACTACTCATGTAAAACATTTTTCCGCGGTGGCATTCGTGCACCTCCATCGTAGAGAGCGGCTGGTTTATCAGGCGGGAGAGATTTAAGCGAACTTTTCGACGGACCGTATAACTCTAACGAGACTGACGTGTGATTATTTCAAACGACGCCAGCTCCAACCGGCGCAATTGCCGTTGAAAACTGCAGTCTGAATAATTGAAACGAGACATAATTAGCCAATTAGGAAAGGGGGACGTCGATCTCGAGCTGGAGCGCGCGAATAACGAGGCGACAGTGAGCACGAACGTAATAATAATCGTGCGCGCCGCGAGGAAGATATGCCCCCGTCTGATTATTCGCGCCGCTTATCTTCCTATTATTTACGCTCGTATCCCTGTCGCGTTCGTATCCCACGCGATATTTACCGCACACCGGGGCTAAACTGTTGCGGCGGTGTTGCAACGTTACATACGCGCGCACACACGTACACACACACACACACACACATCTTTCTTTCTCTCTCTCTCCCTCTTCCTCTCATTCTCGTCACATGAAATTGCTCGCGTAAAGAGCTCGTCGTCCGTCTCTTGCACGCGCGATCACGCTTTTCCAGAGAAGCTGCGAGAAACGGCCGCGAGTGAGACACGGTAATTACGTCGTCATTAACTACCGGCGCGTGGAAATACCGGCCACGGTATATGCGAGCGGTGGTGTGTGTTACTGTGAAATTTGCATAACACGGCGCACAACGTGGCACTTACTTCGAATCGTCGGCGTAACCTGCAGAATCGTCGTCTGTCCGCCGGGAAAGGTTGCGTTCCGCTTATGCCGACCCTGAAAAACCACCAAAGCACACCGTGAAGAAGAGATCACTGAAGAAGGGGGTAGGTGGAGAGCGGGAGGGGGAATTTTCACGGATACTTATCGTCGGATTCCGCAGCGCGGTTCGTTTCTTCGCCGTGTTAATGCGAAGTTAACGCGTTCGATCGCGAACGAACGGCCGCGCATAACTGGCTAATCGATCATGACGTGCTACGTGAGATCTGTAAAACGATTCCGCGCGGATAATCGCTCGGATAATGCTTATTATCCGCGGCCCCAATCGTGAGAACAGCGCGATCCGCGAGCGTGAGCGTACGAATAAGCGAACGAAAGTATCTCCAACGAGGACACCGTCGAGCTGAGAATTTTGACACACCGGTCGAAGAGATGGCTGTGATTGACGTCTCGTTTTTTCGTACGCGACTCACTTAACGGTCCGCATATCGAGAGAGACAGAATATGATTAATTTGATTAAAATTATAGACATTTTCGGCGCTAACCGTATTGTTTGTTGTTCCGACAACACAATAGTAATACACGGGAAAAACAATTCTGTAGATGTAACCGAAATTTTCGAGGAAGCTGTAGAACAGAGAGATTTCTGTCAGAAGTTTTCTACATAGGGAGAAGAATTTCTTTGGATTTAGCACACGTGTTGGTTCGATTTGGGTTTATTTAATGTGAACAATATAATTTAATATCAAATATCAAATATTTTGTTTGAATGAGAACGCTTCACTGGAGTGAACCATATTGTTTGACAAAAATACTAAGGAACATTGATAGAATTATTTACTTGAATCTAGCACTTTTTTCCTGCACGCATATAGTGAAACTTACGTTTCATTATAAAGTTATTGTCACAAGTATCAAATACTTTGTTTTCAGTATACGTCGCGTCCTTTGCAACTTTCGTAAGCCGTCTCGCGAGCCTGAACAATTTTATTGTCCGAGAGAGAAACCGCGAAGTCCAGCCGACGGATTCAAGGTACAATTGAAAGGTTCAAACGCGAGATGCCGGCGCGATTGAAATGACGTTCTCGAGGCGCGTGAAACGCGGCGTTATTGAAGCGACGTTCGTTAATGCACGCGCGATCTCGCCTTCGCGCGCGTCTTCTCGATCGAAAGTATCTGCGGAATAGTATCCGATCGCCGGCACTCGGTTTCGCGTGGGACGCGGAGGTGCAAATTGATCCGAGTTCCTCCGCACAGACAGCGTGGCGATTCGAAGGACGGCGACGGAGGAGAGGGGGGAAGGGTGCGCGCGGTACGGCCGGGAGAGGGAATAATTGCGGGAAAATGTAGAAAATAACGCGGGAGCAGCCGTTTCCTCTGCGTTTCACCGGGCTTAAATGTCGCGGCACGTATGCCATCGCCTTGGCCCCGTAACGTAATCGTTCGTTTACACCAGCGGCAGGTCCGCGACAACCGAGAGCTGCCGCGCCGGCCATTTGCCGCGATCGATCATTGGCTTGCGTAACTGAATCGACGTGCGCGTCGAATGCCGCGCGTTGTGTGCCGCCGAGCCGTGGGGAGGCAGGCGCGAGAAGCCTGCCGTTTACCTGCGAACAATGCTGTCCCGGGCTATCCCGGACGATTCGCCAGAGGACGATTGATCGACCGGCGTAGCCGTGAGCGCCCGCGCGGAAAACACTCCATTCTGTGTTCCGAGGAGATAATTATCGAGGCGTTGCGAGATACCTCGGATGCGCGGGTATATACATTGTGTACGACCCGCGGGGAATGCATTTTGTTCGAGGATTACAGTTGTACAGCAGCTTCGATGCCGCACGGGGAACGTCGTAACGCGGCGAGTAATTTACGACGCGTTGTGTTCCTCCGCGGGATGAGATTTGCATGTTTCGCAATGGCCCGGCTCGTTCCCGACTTCCTCGAGAGAGAACGTCTCTCCGCCGTCGTTGTACTTTTCTCCATTAATCGGCCCGGATGAGATAATGCGTCGCGGCAGCGAACGGCGATGCGCGGGGAAAGATAATTTTGCTGTTGCAGCGAAACCACGCATCATTGCTACTGCGTATACGTTGCAAATTATTATTGCTACTTTTTGAATCGAAACCAGAAGAGGGTGTCGGAGAAAGTAACCGAGGCCGGAAATGATTATAATTTTAGCGGGATTTCTCTCAATGTACACCATAAAGCCCATGTTGGAGCAGGTATTGAGAAGAGAAAACTGCGGGTTGGAGATTAGGATTCGACGAGTCAATCAATCACGAGCTCCGCTTTGTCTCAATTAGTCCAATTCCGACCTCCAATCCGCAATCTTCAACTTCGGATATCTGGGGTGTAATTCACCAAATGCTTCGCGGCGTTCCTTTCTTTTTTTTTTTTTTCATACACAGGCTTAATAACGTCATTATGTAGTTAGAATGCTTTGTAGCTTCTAATGGATCCCGTCCTGTAATAATGAATAGGATCGCCTTAGACTAATACAGGGGCTCGAAAGATATGCGAGACCCACTTTTGAGGAATAGAGTCTTTGAACCCGTATGATCGTACAGTGCGCCACGGGTCTCGTGATAGCTCGTGTTTTACACCGTCAGAAGTACGAAATGAAGCGGTATTTCCGTTTACCGATCGATCATTTCTTACGTAAGTCGCACGGTCAGCCGCGCAATCCGCCGTTGTTACAAAGTTACGAGCAATGTAGCGAATGACAGCTCCCCAAGCGGTTCGATTTGCGGCGGTTTGATTGATTGGAAGGCTCGCGAGCGGACACCTCCGCTCGCGATACACGGTAGACAATTGAGAAAGGCTAGACGCAATTACGCACTTGGGCGGAGACCATCGGTGCGGAGGCCATAGGCCGAGCCCGAATTTCTTTTCGGCTCAATGCGATTACGTGTTGCGCAAGTGCGCATTTGCTGCGTGAAAACGCTCGCTCGGGCGTTCGTGTATGCGCGACATTTAAGCAAATATTCATTGCGTGCGATAATTATTAAAGGTTAGCAAAGGTTCGTTCAATTTTTCACCATATTTATTCTACTGATTTATTCGTAAGAATAAATAAATAAATGAAATTTTTATCTTTTTAATTGTGCCAAATCAGTATATAGATTATGTTCGATCGAAGAATACTGCAAAGTGTTGAATACTTAACTATAATTGTAAGCCAGCATTTTCTACCATCTTTCGAGTAATCGTTTGACCCCTTGTGCGCGAAATGACTAATCTATTGAACCAGTGAAATCACCGATAATCCGGTGACCTTTGTAATTGTAAAAATATAAATTTTCAGTAAATTTCTCATAATACATATAAATTGTAATGATCGACGAGGAGTCAAAACATTGAAATATTTTCCAACACGTCTATATTCACACCGACGTCATCGCGTCGGCTCGTGCCTGCCTGTCTGATGGCTCTTCCATTAATTTTCCGATTTCACAATCTTATTCAGCGCGACATCAGAGACTGCTACACAAATGGAGACAAATAATAGAGTCACCGGCTGCAAAGTGGCTGCCGTGAAGCAGAAACGATCATTCTCACGTCCGAGCCGAGTCCTTTGGCGATCGCGTAGCGCCGAGTGAAACGGTGCGGTCTCCATTTGTCACCGACCGCTTTCCGTCGTCGTCGTCATCGTCACCGTCGTCATCGGCGGCTGAATAATAGTTCTCTTTTCGCGAGACGCCCCGGCGTTAAGCGACGGGTGAAAAGAGAAAACGGGACCCCTTTAGAGATCGCGAAAAGACGAATGAATCGCAGGAAGGAGCCAATCGACTCCACGGACAACTCCGGTGCAGTCTCGTGACAACTCGCGCACTACCGCCGTTATTGTCGACGTAATGAGCGGCCGCAATGACGACGACGACGACGACGGGCGGTGGCTATGCGGCGATTATGCGAGGCAACGTCGGCAGTTTCACTGTCGCTTACGCGAACGCCTTTTTTTATTCTTCCTCTCCTTCTACTTCTTTTCTCCTCTTTTTTTCAAGGACCTTTCAGGCACCGACGGGCAACAGTCACACTCAATAACCGCTTCATCACGCGAAAGCGCCGCTCGAGCCCGTTTATGAACTCGACGCACTTTTACGTCGCGTTCTGTCCCACATCGCCGCTAATCCTGTTACGTGTACAATAGCGTCCTTCATACACTGGGAGACAACAAAGGTGGCTTTACGACCGGCGTTGTCGACGAAAGGTGGCGTTCGATCGACGGTTCACTTCGTTGATTGAGATTAATTAAGGGGATGCCAAACTTCGACGACGAACTTTATAAGCGTCGATAACGTAGAGACGCTATGTTGTACAAACACTGAGACGATCACGTTACTCTTTTTGTTTTTCTTGTAAGTGTAGATTTTACGTAAGTATAAGTTTGATATAAATGTGAATGCGATGAATATGCGCTACTTGTTTTCGTATCTAACGGAAAATCGAACCAAAAGGTGTACAAAGGTTTTCTGTAAATTGCTCGTATCTCTTTAAGTCTCTAAATTTAACTGAAAAAATATACAATGTCTAAAATTTTCCTGACTGGAGCATTGGCATATTCGGTATGCACAAGCTGCAGAACTTCCGTATCAGTCTTAATATTTACGTCAATTGACAGCTAAAGATGTCAATTTTGAAATTTTTTATCATTTTCATCACATATCAAGCAATGTTCCAGTCCATTTTCGAGAGTACTTTGTAATACTGTGTAAAAGCATTTATGTGCATTGCAAATTCTGTGCAATCAATAATGACACAAATTTTTTAGAAAGTAGTCCGTATTTCGCTGATAAAGTTTTCGAATATGACATCTCTTAATAGAGTAACATTAGCCTAATTCATTTTCAAACTCTTCGTGAGATCGCTCGTTTCAGAAGGAAACGAAGAATCGGCCCAATCGAAGTCGACCAACTTCGATGAAATCAACCTGGATATCGTCTCGATCCGTTCTAAATACCACTAGTAATAATTAATGGTTGTGATTAGTTACAGGTATAAGTCATCGCCTCGGAATATTGCGAGAAGACGTCGCGAGAGCGGAATCATCTTTGCACGCGTAACGAGCACGACGTGTACACGAGAGGATGATGCACGGACGTAATGATTACACGAGAGGAAGAGGGGGAAAGAGAAAGAAAGAAAGAAAGAAAGAGAGGGAGAAAGAGGGAGGGAGGGAGGGAAGGAGAGAGAGAGAGAGAGAATATCCGCAGCAATCACAGGCGATGGCTGCGTTTCTGCCATTTGCGTGACTCCGTTCTCGCTCGCCGTACGAGAGATGTAATACGGTACCAATACGCCCCGAGACGTATCCTCACCGTAATCGACAGAAAATTAAATTCTCTAATGATACACGTAAGAGATGCCATTCTATATCGCGAGTATGCATTATACGTATCGACGCGCCGGTTTCCTTTCCACCGGTCATCGAGCACCGAGTCATTTTCTCCAGTCGATACTACCCTCATAATTTGACGCGAGAAATTAGATTGCGCCTCTAACGTCGTAACGGTACCTCCCGCCTCCCCTTTCGCGCACTTTATTTACCCCGAAGCGCTTAAAACGAGCGATGTAATATTTGGTTTCCAGCGAGTATTCAATTTGGCAATCCACCTCTCTCCTAGATAACACTTTGAGATTGCGAAACGCGAAAAATCTCGCGAAGTTAGAGTTATTCCGACACTCTCGAAATATAGAGTCCGAGTCGAGCTGATCCGAGGATCGTGCGTTTGCCATGCGTCTCATTGATGTATTGTGAAGGGAACAACGGAGAAGGAACGGAAGAGGTACTTTCCTTATTTCCTATTTCCTCTTCTCGAATGACAAATCGTCGGGAAAAGACGAGTGCGTGACGATCGGACAAAAAGATCCATGACGACTCACCTTGTTTCGCGAGTACACCTGGAGAACATCCGTCCACCACCTGGTCTCTTCCCGACACGTCCCTTTGACGAAGGTCACACCTTCCGGCGAGGTCACGGCGAGGCTGTAAGGATGTCCAGTGACGTCCTCGGCGGCGGCCACCTCCAGGACGCGGGTCATATCGATCCTCGCCTGAGGCACCGTCTCGGGCTGCAACGATAAGAGGAAGACGCCTGATTATAACAGAACTGACGCGCAGAGCGACGTACACGCGCACATGCACGCCACAGCGGAGGAGCGTTCTACTTTGTGCGAAATTACATCGGCGAGCCGACGTAATCGGCCGTCGGGGATTAAATAGGCGTTCGCTAATCGCGCGTTCTCACGCGCGCCGCGAAAACAAACGTGAGGCTGAAGAAACGCGAGGCGTAATAATAATAAGACACCCGTCGACGACGCATCGCAGGCGATCCGTGCGTGTGCGAATTCACACACGCATACACCGAGTAGAAGATATTCGGTATTTCTGCCTATAATTGCACGCTGAAGTAATTACAGCCGGGAACACCGTTTTTTTTTTGTAACAGGTGCTACAGTGTTAGCGATAACAACTTCATATGTATATTTTTCGTGCATAAAGAAAATTTCTTTTGGATCCCATTTGGTTCCTTTGGATTTAGTATACGTGTTTGTTTGATTTGCGTTAGTTTAATATAAATAATTTAATACCGAATATTATTTTGTTGGAATGAAAATGTTGTTTTGCTAGAATAAGCCATATTGTTTGATAGAAAAAACAGTATTATTTAAAGGAAATCATATTTCATTCTTTCAATTAAAGAAATTTTATTAAAGAAATCTTTTTTTCTCTGTGTGCACACTGAGAAGAAAGTAATTAAAAATTTATTTCCGAGATATAAGATTGATTTCGCAGAAATAATGTTTATAATGTTTATATATCAGAAAGAAATTTTTATGGACTCTCTTTTCAGTGAAGGCTTCAAAGATCATACACTTCGTAAACAGTAAACAATGACATATCTCGATCTAAATTTTTACAGTTCTTGCAATATAGAGGAGTCAATCCAGTACAGTCTAAGAATAAAAATAATCATTTTTCTCGAAAATCATTAGAAATTTTGGCAGATCGGTCGATCAAGAATTAACAATCATCCAGAGAAGGATAAATCTACCCGAGTGGTTGGCAATATATTAATAAGCACAACACACACAATGCCATGACGCAAGCGGAAGGACGGAATGACGAAACGCGATCGTCGAGATGCGCGTTCGCGGCCGCAACGCGACGCACTTTTATCGCGCTTGATACCTCATTCCTTTTTCTTCCTCTTCTTGTTCTTCTCCCTCCACTTCTTCCACTACTGGCGAACGGCCGTTCCGCGAAATTGCACGCGCATTACGCTTGCCGGTCGGCGTTGCATCGAAGCTCTCGCTTTACCGGAAACGTATCATTTCAGCGCAAATAGGTAAGCGACCGGTCGCACCTCTTACCCGCGGTCCGCCGCCGCATCGTCGTCGCGGCCGACTATTTTCCTTCAGCCTGCCGTAAAAGCGGCACTCCACACCGCGAAATAAACGCTTTATTGCTATTCCGGCGAGGCACTTCGCTCCTCGTAAAACGAAAGTGAGTCTCATCGGTGATCGCGCGGCAATTGCCGCCAATTTGAGGCGCGACGGGGGTAGCACACGGGACACTACCATTTTGACAAAGAGAGAAAGAGACGTTACATGGACATCGTGCGAAAGAGCGAGATGGCCGGTCGCGGGTGGCGAAGCCGATCAAAGCGCGCCGCGATTTGCCGACGTTTGTTTTACTCACCCGGGGAATGTCACCGCAACGCAATCACGCCGGTGCTTTACGGGGACGAGAGTGCCTGTCGTGTCCCTCTGGTGGAACACGGATCGGTTTCATACAAGCGGAGGCGAGAAGGTTGAGCAACGCTCGGCACAGCAACGGAATGAGCAGTAAAAAGTAACGACTAATTTTTCGGTAATAAGTCGCGCGAGAGATTCGAACAAACGGTTGAGCAATTTCGCGCGGAACGACATTGATAATGACATCGTTATCACCGCACCGGCTGTCGAGAGATGATTGTATCATAATTATCGGAGATTGAATTGGAGACACGTTCTTATTCGCGGCTATTGAATGTTAATCTCTCTAACTGGAACCTGATTTTCCAAATGGTTTCCTGGAACATTCGTCTGAGAAACGGACATTCTCATTACAAAGACTATAACCTTAAAATGTAATATTTATGTTTTAATTGTTTAGTTATTATTTGTTTTTAATCAAATATTTATTTCATTTTTTTAGAGATTTTTTAAAGGAAATTTATGTGAAACGTAGGAATAAGTGAAAGGAAGAACTTACATTTTATATGGCTTTTACACGGAGAAAAATAATTGCTGTTGTAACGAAATTATCGTTGCTATTCGTTGCGACAACGATAAAATTTAGTTGGCGTAACTAAAGTAACGAATTATTCGTAATTAAAACAAAAACAAAGTCTTGCCGCCAGGATATTTACTAATTTATTCTTACAGAAAAATAATTTGTAGATTCAACAAGATAATCCAGCGAACGGCAATTATTATTCCGAATAAATCGTTTTGCTGTCCGTATAGTAACTGACAGATTTTGTTGCGACAGCATAGAATTTGCTGTGCCAGCAAATTATTTATCTCCATGTAGGAGCCAAAAGCACAGATCTTATAGCGTCATTAAATATTAATTTTGTCGATATTAACATGTTGGTGAGAGACTACATAATGCTCGAACATATTTTACCGAATTATTCTTCGGTCGTACACGGAGAATCCTTCATGCAAAGCGTCATCCTTTATATTCCCAATATAATTCCACCATTAACCCAGGATTTATTTAAATCCATACTAAGCGTTACGAAAAATACTGCCTCAGGCAGTAGGAGGCTGACACAATATTAGTATTTAATGGCACCATAAAATCCGTGTTTTGGCTTCTAAAGGCCCAAAACTCTGTCTTCCTTTGATCAGACCAAGTAGAAGCTCTGTCATACTTAAAAAATAAAGACAAAGTTGCTCGTCGAATGCTACTATGAGCAAAAATAGAAACTATCCGCCCGACGGACGGATATTCTGTTTTAAGAATTGAACCAGTCTCAAATGTTACTCTGGGAGAGGCACATGATTAGTTTCCTCTTTAATCACCAAATTTTTCAGAAAACGTATTTCAATAACGAGGTCCGTTTTAAACGTTCGTCTAGACAGGGTGAAGGAATTCGTGACGTCGAGGGTGTACGGACGCCGCGAAGCGGCGCGCATAATTCAAAGCGCTGCGCTGTCCGGCTGCAATTTTTCTCGCGCTCGAGCAGCGACATTATTCTTGAAACGCGAGAGGTTCATTTGCGCGTATCTCCCTCCCTCCCTCCCTCCCTCCCTCCCTCTCTCTCTCTCTCTCTCNTCTCTCTCTCTCTCTCTTTCTGTTTGCGTTTCTCGCGCGCCTATATATTCTCCGTCGCGACTGTCTCCCTCCCGCCTCTCGCCGCTCGCGTCGGGATAATGCAAAAATTTGCATACGAAAAATCCCCGCTCGTGCTTCGCATAATTAATCGCAGAGGGTGGGTAGGAGGAGAGGGGAGGGGGGGGGAGGGAAAGAACTCGCGCAGGAACGGCGGAAAAAATTTATGTACGCGAATAATTCGCGACACGGCGCGACGATGACAATAATTAATATGTTATTAATGACTCCGCGTCGTGCGTCTTCTCTCTCATCGCGGTGCCTTATACGCAACTTCGCGCAAGAAGCTTCGCACTCCTCGGAGAGAGGAGCGAGAGCAATCGTTCGCCAGTCTCGAAAAATCAATCTCCAGGAGTGAGCTCCCACCCCGTGTCTCCTTCTCCCTCCCTCTCTCTCTCTCTTCCTTTCTTACGTCACACGATATATAATATCTATCTCTCTCTTTCTCTGCTTTACGAGGCGAACGGTACGATTTGTTTGTTTGTTTATATCACCCAGTATACACGCGACATTATGTGGGTTGTAATAAGGCGAGCCTACGGTGTATTGCACGCACGTACATTATACACACATTCGAGATTGCGCAAACTGCGCAGAACCTCTGAAGGACTGCGTGTAAGAATTTCTAATGCTTCGCTGTGTCTCCTTGCTTCCCCTGTCTCTATTCCCCTTCCTCTCTCTCTCTCTATCTCTCTCTATCTTTCTATATCTTTAATGTGCGCGAGAAAGTAATGAACATAAACTTCAATCAATCATTTATGCGACCACCTACTCTCGCAGAAAGCAGGAGGTAGTCGCGTCCGCGAGTATTGTAACGTAGCTCTCATTCGGCCATGTATCCTTACGCTTTACGTATAATTTACGCTCGGCTCGTTTAATGAATTCATAAATTCACTCTCGCACGCTTCTGCGAGTTGTGTGTGTGTCCGTGCTCTCTCTCTCTCTCTCCTTCCTTTTCCCTCTTTCTATCTCTCTTGCGGAGTCTATCGAAAGTATCCCGCGCGATCGCACGGAGCGACGTTCTAGCTACAAATCAATTAGATTCTTTACGACCATACGTACGCGCGCGTTCGTGATTCGTAGGGAATGCGAAGCCGACCGCGCGCCAGTACGTCGTAAATGTGCCATTCGCGCGTCTGAAAAGGTCTGAAAACGTGTCTCGAAAAATTCCAGGCATATCATTAATCGCATGCCGAGTTCTAATTGAGCGCCAAGCTTGAGGGGCCCCGGTGGAGCCCGCGGCGGCGGTGGTTTGATAGGATTATGCCGATTATTATGCCAATCGGACGCGTCAACGATATCGACGAATAATCGAATACGTGGCGGCTCGTACGATCGAGATTAGGCGCGACTGTTCGGCGTCGATCAGTCAGAGGCTGTATTGTTTCACTGATACTTTTAATTAAAGGAACGGTCAGTTTCCTAGAAGTCTCAGATTAGTATCAAGTACTGTACTGATGGCACAGATATAATCAAGAATTTAAAAAATGCTGAACATATAAAAATAAAATTATGTAATAAGCAAATAATTTCAATGAAAAAAATAATTGTTCTATATAAATAGGGCATTGGTCATTAATGGGTTAATCAAACGAGATGCAAAAACTAGGGTACTACTTAAATGCTTTTTAAAAGAACAGAGAATGCAACGATTTCGACATGATTTCGTACTCTCTGAATCAAAAAT